CATGTTCCTTTGTGTCCTCTCTAGAGGTACTCTGGTCTTCTCCCACAGTTCAAAGACATGCATGTTAAGTTAACTGTTAATTGTAAATTGACTATAGGTGTGTTTGTGAGAATGGTTTTCTGTCTCTCTTAATTAGTTTTGCAACAGACTGGTGATAGCTAAGAAAATGGGTGGATGACTGGCCAAATATTTCAGCTTTGTTTGGTTTGTGGTTGTGCTTAGACTTGTGGCCAAAGTCTATGCTTATGTTTTCACATATTGCATAAAATGAAATCACATAGTAGGTTTATTACTTTAAAATTCATGTGTGTATTTCTATAACACTCTCCATTCATTTCTTTATACTTCAAAACCAGAGTTTAGCATCTTCAGTCGGATGTGTGGGAATAAAGTGATAGAAAAAAATAGATACATTTGTTTGTCTATTCAGTTTTATATTATTTGTTACAAAGTCTTATTGCCTCAGACTTGGTAACACATAAAACAGTCCTCAGAGGGAAGTACTTGGTTCATCTGTTAAAAGCTTGCATGCAGTGAAAATGTCCTTATAGGGACTGTTTGAAGAAAAAAAAAAAGGGTTGTAGCCAGCACAACCAGAGGCTGTGAATAACGTGAAAGTACTAACTGGCCCAATGAATTGAACTGAGTCTTGGCCGAATTTGAAACTAGTGTTAGAGAATACTGGAGTTTGAAAGGACAGCAGGTTAAACACATATTGACATTTGGGTAAATTATTACAGGATCTGAGGTTCTCTGATAGGAAATTACATCACAAAGCTACCTGAAAAAGAAGACACTGTGTGCAGTCTGATAAACAGGCTGGTCATGTCACAAACAAGATAATAGTCTAATAAGTAGAAATGCGTGTATATACCAGAGTTATAATTAGAACAGCAATTGCAGCGCTAGGAGTACTTTTATCTTGTTATTGGCTTGGATTTGTGTTAATATTAGACTGTTGTAAGGACCTTGCACTTCCTTAAGACAAATACTTTGAAGACCTTAAATTATGTATTAAAGGCAATACTGTACAGTTAGCAACTATTTTTAACTTACAAATGCTCACTCTACTTCAGCTTGAATTGTTCAAACATTTTGGGAAAGTCCAATAGCGGCCACTGCAGTTTCCCCACAGAAAATAAAGTCAGATACACTTACCAATCACTATGTTAGCTACACCAGTTCAACTGCTGGTCAATCCAAATATCTAATCAGCCTTTGACATGGCTGCATCTTAGTGCATTTTAGGGAAAGAGACATGCCTCCCAAAGTTCAAACCAAGCACCAGAATGTGGAAGAAAGGGGATTTAAATGACTTTGAACATGGTTGTTGGTGCCGGACAGGATGGTCTAACTATTTCGGAAACTGCTGATCTACTGGGATTGTAACAAAACCCTACTGTGGTATAGGGAAAATATGTGGTATAGGGAAAATATGTGGTATAGGGAAAATATGTGGTATAGGGAAAAGGAGAAAATCACTGCATAGATCCATCCTGCTTGTATAAACGGTTCAGACTGGTGCTAGTAGTATAATGGTATATGGGAACTTTGGCACACTTTAGGACCTTTAGCATCGGTTGTGCAGCTTTCAAACACCAAAGAATACCTGAGTGTAGCTGCTAACGATTCCCTTATGACCTCAGTGTACCCATCTTCTGATGACTGGTTTCAGTAATGTAATGTAATCAAGCATCTTTGCGATGTGGTTGGGGGCAAGTTCAAACTACAGCACTTCTGTTCGATTAGGCTATTATACAATATCACATTTTAAGTAGTGATGGGCAAATGAAGCTTTCTGAAGCATTGAAGCTTGTATTGAAAAGGGGTTAATTATTAAACGGTTTTCAACAGTCCTCTTTGGTGGCATCTGGTGGCCAAAAACATGAAGAGCATCTTAATTCTACAAATTAAACTGCTTCATTATGAATTCCCACTCAAGAGCTCAGTTGACAGCTTCTGTTTAATACCATGTGACAGTTATTCAATTCAATTCAATTCAATTCAATTTTATTTATATAGCACCAAATCACAACAAAAGTCGCCTCAAGGTGCTTCATAGATACAGAGAAAAACCCAACAATCATATGACCCCCTATGAGCAAGCACTTTGGCGACAGTAGGAAGGAAAAACTCCTTTTTAACAGGAAGAAACCTCCGGCGGAACCAGGCTCAGGGAGGAGCGGGGCCATCTGCTGCAACCGGTTGGGGTGAGAGAAGGAAGACAGGATAAAAGACATGCTGTGGAAGAGATACAGAGGTTAATAACAGATATGATTCAATGCAGAGAGGTCTATCAACACATAGTGAGTGAGAAAGTGCATGCATCATGGGAATCCCCCGGCAGCCTACGTCTATTGCAGCATAACTAAGGGAGGATCCAGGGTCACCTGGTCCAGCCCTAACTATATGCTTTAGCAAAAAGGAAAGTTTTAAGCCTAATCTTAAAAGTAGAGATAGTGTCTGTCTCCTGAATCCAAACTGGAAGCTGGTTCCACAGAAGAGGGGCCTGAAAACTGAAGGCTCTCCCTCCCATTCTACTTTTAAATACTCTAGGAACAACAAGTAGTTCTGCAGTGCGAGAGCGAAGTGCTCTAATAGGGTGATATGGTACTACAAGGTCATTAAGATAAGATGGGGCCTGATTATTTAAGACCTTGTATGTGAGGAGCAAGATTTTGAATTCAATTCTGGATTTAACAGGAAGCCAATGAAGGGAAGCCAAAACAGGAGAAATATGCTCTTTCTTTCTAGTCCCTGTCAGGACTCTTGCTGCAGCATTTTGGATTAGCTGAAGGCTTTTCAGTGAGTGTTTTGGACATCCTGATAATAATGATTTGCAGTAGTCCAGCCTGGAAGTAATAAATGCATGAGTATCACACAGTTATGTGAAATACTGGGCTACCATTGTGGTGCTGTATTATTTTGGAGTGAAAAAAATGTTGTCTATTTGTTTATTCATCAAATTTATCATTTGTCATTGTGTTCTCCCTTTGTTTCTGACTCCTTGACATTTGTAAACAGTTAAATAAAAAATAATTCTAAATGTATATTTACACTCTTAGAATAGGTTGGGCGTAATGCTTGTGCTATGAGGTACCTGCCTCATTGTGATTATGTAAAAACCAGTGTGTGTCGTACCTTGGTTTGCTATTTCTTACACCAAAACACCACAAATCCCGCAAACAATCACTTCCTTATCCGTGCTCGCATTCTCGCCAGTCCGGACTTCGTAAGTTCACACTGGAGTCTGGACGCAGCGCGATTATTCGAATGGCAGTGTACTTGATGACATCTTCTCGCCGGGGTTTTTTACTGTCATCCCCTCTTAATTTAATTGTGATTAATAAATGCAATGGACATTACACATGATATAAAAAAAATACACGTGATACAGTAGATTTCTTTAAGGAAGAAAAAACATAATTTTAAAAAAGTATCTTAAACACTGACAAAATTCGCTTTTACGCATCATCTGCTTCATAACGTCTAATAAGCTTCATAGTTAAGCACAAGCACTACGTGACAGAAACACAAGCTTAATTTCTCTTAATAAAAATAGTATACATGTAATGCCTGAATAAAAACAAACCGGTAAGATATTAGAATACTTATTTTTATTTTAGTACACACTCAAAACTTAAAACAGACAGCTGGGATTCACGTGACTCTGACCAGATGAACCAAATGTGGGTTTTTTGGGTGGGGGGTTGAGACACCTGAGCATCAGCTTCAAATGGACAATCACTGATTTTATGATTCTAAAACAAATAGGAACACACTTTCATTCCATTAAAAAATGGAAAAATAGATTTTTCTCCTCTACTCTTTTCAATTGAGTAAACTTTAATCCATCTTGGAATAAGGTTGTAGAGTTATCTACGATAAAAACTATGTATCTATTCGCTGCTGTTAGCTTTGGTATCACACCGTGTTACTTGAAATGTCAGTTAAAAGATATATTGTTCTAAACCTGGCTTCAGTTCTCCCCACAGAAGCATATTTCTGAACCCCATGATTGTAGCAGCTATTACTGAAATATGGTCACCCAGACCTGACCTATAGGGCACACTGCTGGCTAACCGTGATATGTTGCACTTCATCACTGAACTAAAGTGGAATTTACAGATATCTGTACTTTACATGAGTAGTTATTATTCTGACAACTTTCTACTTTTACTCTCTACATTTTTAAATTAATATCTGTACTTTCTACTTCTTTCCTTTTCAATACAGGTTGGTTACTCTTGGTTAGTGGGCCGGTCCGGAAGAAGTGCACGTGTGCCTAAGTTGTGGCCTTGGTACCATATAACATTTGATAAGCATTACAGAACAGGAGTGACCATAAAGGAAGCAATGTTTGTTTTGTTCTTTTTTAACTGTCAGGTAATTTCTAATGCAACATTTGAAATTACATGCAAGCAGCAGAAATGAGCTTCCTCCAAAGGATGGCTGGGCTCTCCCTCAGAGATTCAGGGACAGGGACACAGTACAATGAATATTCTGATACTGGATGACTGGTTTTCTTTGTTTTCGAGAAAGCATCCCCCTTAATATGCTGTTCTATTTTGTTAGCTGCATGAACAGAAGATGCATCTGGTTTATTATAAATAATAAAAAGTGCCTCAATTTTGTCCACTTGCCTCAGAGACACAGTGCATCCTGCTGAAATAATCTCCATGAGTACTGTGTCATCTCATGGAGTACATACACACACATGATGTGTGTGTATGTACACACACATGCATTGAAAAAACAGTCATGAAAAATAAAGTACACTCTCTTTCCATTTGAAGGCTCAACCTCAGCTGAACACGACATATTACACTGTGTGCCGTTTATTTAACAAAAGCTAACCCAAACAGCAGAAGCAGCCTCCAAGTTTATTCTTACTGCTTCCATAGGAATTAAGAGTGTGAGAGGCAGCCAGATGTTAATCAGTCAATCAAATGCACTTTATTGGCTGATCATCAGCAAGAAAATCAGGAAGGACAACCATATGTAATTCAATTACATTTTATTTTTATAATGCCAGATCACAAAAGTCACCCTAAGGTCTATAATAAATGGCTTATATTGCAGCGATATAGAGGGTCCTAACTGAAAAAGAACAGAAGGACTTTTTGGAGATGCTAACACTGTAGAGAGAGATCTGCTCTCCTTGGTGTCATATTCTATTGTACAGAACTCACAGGTATGAAATGAACAGAGGCAAGTGAAGGTGCTGCCTCAAGTGACTGATATTGTGTCAACTTTAGATCACCATTGTACTAGGTGACACCAGGGAGATGCTGGGCCTTTCCAGTAAGGCAAAAAAGTTGTTTATCATGGTATGTATATCAGAAATAGTTAAATTTATCAACAATTATACAAAACTGAGCAAACAAAGCACAAAGTTACTGATCTATAGTCAATATAGTATATAGTACTTATAGTACTTATATCGACTTATAGTCAATATAAGTCAGAAGCATTTCCATGAGGATTTCCATTTCCATTTTCTTTTGATATTCACAGCAGTATGACCTAATATCTACTTTAGGGAAGATGAAGATTTGTGATCTGAGAATTTATGGGAGAAATATCAAACACATGTGTTCTCTTATTATAATGTAGATAATTTCATTTCCGTCACTCCAGTTTACCTCTGGAGCAGGGTTCATTGTGATTTCAGGCTTCTGTAGAGCAACAGAAACAGAAATTAAATGTTTGTTATGTATTAACCAAATGGCAAGCAGTGAGCTAATTTGTCAGTTCAAAATGAGCTATGCCTCTTACCTAAGCAGATAACACTGGCATCTTCATTATGCTCACAGTTATTTTGTCCAAAACCAGGATGTGAACAGTGTGAAAGTGCAGACTCTTGGCCTGAGCATGCTACGTTATCCAGCCATATAGGGCCAGTGCCTCTACCAAAATGAGCACTTTCAGGTGCTGAAATGGCATGACCGCATCCAAGCTGTCTGCATACCACATCAGCATCTCTCATTTCCCAAAAGTCATCACACACAGTTCCCCACTGTCCTTTATAGAAGACCTCCACTCTGCCGGAGCATTCACCTGAGCCACCCACCAACCGGACTTGTTCTGCATAACAGAGCAGAAAGAGTGAATACAAATTCAAAGGGACATCTTTAAAACAAACATCTACATGTACAGTGGGGCAAAAAAGTATTTAGTCAGCCACCGATTGTGCAAGTTCCCCCACTTAAAATGATGACAGAGGTCAGTAATTTGCACCAGAGGTACACTTCAACTGTGAGAGACAGAATGTGAAAAAGAAATCCATGAATTCACATGGTAGGATTTGTAAAGAATTTATTCGTAAATCAGGGTGGAAAATAAGTATTTGGTCACCTCAAACAAGGAAAATCTCTGGCTCTCACAGACCTGTAACGTCTTCTGTAAGAAGCTTTTCTGTCCCCCACTCGTTACCTGTATGAATGGCACCTGTTTGAACTCATCCTCTGTATAAAAGACACCTGTCCACAGCCTCAAACAGTCAGACTCCAAACTCCGCCATGGCCAAGACCAAAGAGCTTTCGAAGGACACCAGGAAAAGTATTGTAGACCTGCACCAGACTGGGAAGAGTGAATCTACAATAGGCAAGCAGCTTGGTGTGAAAAAATCAACTGTGGGAGCAATCATCAGAAAATGGAAGACATACAAGACCACTGATAATCTCCCTCGATCTGGGGCTCCACGCAAGATCTCATCCCGTGGGGTCAAAATGATCATGAGAACGGTGAGCAAAGATCCCAGAACCACACGGGGGGACCTGGTGAATGACCTGCAGAGAGCTGGGACCAAAGTAACAAAGGTCACCATCAGTAACACACTACAACGGCAGGGAATCAAATCCCGCAGTGCCAGACGTGTTCCGCTGCTGAAGCCAGTGCATGTCCAGGCCCGTCTGAAGTTTGCCAGAGAGCACATGGATGATACAGCAGAGGATTGGGAGAATGTCATGTGGTCAGATGAAACCAAAGTAGAACTTTTTGGTATAAACTCAACTCGTCGTGTTTGGAGGAAGAAGAATACTGAGTTGCATCCCAAGAACACCATACCTACTGTGAAGCATGGGGGTGGAAACATCATGCTATGGGGCTGTTTTTCTGCCAAGGGGACAGGACGACTGATCCGTGTTAAGGACAGAATGAATGGGGCCATGTATCGTGAGATTTTGAGCCAAAACCTCCTTCCATCAGTGAGAACTTTGAAGATGAAACGAGGCTGGGTCTTCCAACATGACAATGATCCAAAACACACCGCCCGGGCAACAAAGGAGTGGCTCCGTAAGAAGCATTTGAAAGTCCTGGAGTGGCCTAGCCAGTCTCCAGACCTCAACCCCATAGAAAATCTGTGGCGGGAGTTGAAAGTCCGTGTTGCTCGGCGACAGCCCCAAAACATCACTGCTCTCGAGAAGATCTGCATGGAGGAATGGGCCAAAATACCAGCTACTGTGTGTGCAAACCTGGTAAAGACCTATAGTAAACGTTTGACCTCTGTTATTGCCAACAAAGGTTATGTTACAAAGTATTGAGTTGTATTTTTGTTATTGACCAAATACTTATTTTCCACCCTGATTTACGAATAAATTCTTTACAAATCCTACCATGTGGATTCATGGATTTTTTTTCACATTCTGTCTCTCACAGTTGAAGTGTACCTCTGGTGCAAATTACTGACCTCTGTCATCATTTTAGGTGGGGGAACTTGCACAATCGGTGGCTGACTAAATACTTTTTTGCCCCACTGTATGCCAGTGAAACACTGCTAAACGGCACGCTGCAACTATTACAACAGCATTGCTTCACTGCAGAAGAGTCCACATGCTGAACTACCTTTCACTACCTGAAAACATTTGAAACACACCATGAAATGAAAACTATAAAGATGACTCATGATTGTTGAGCAGCTATAATCCTATCAGACAAGAATGGGACAACTACTCATCTCCTCTTATTGCTCAATAGTTGCTCACGTCTCAAAAAAGCAGATAGGGCCATTTTTTTGTAGGATCCCCTCTTCTTTGAACAAAAGTATGTAAATGGCAACCCACTGGAAACAAACCATTAACTTTCTTCTCAATATTTGACATTTTCCTTGTTAAAATGTTGTTTTCTTTCAGGAAAGCAAATATGAAGGAAAAGTAAGGAATACATTGAGAAACATAGGCTGGAAAAAGAGGAAGTTAAGATAATGTGACGGAAATTGCTCTGTGTGACTACAGATAACAAAATCAGCCAAAATCAACTTAAATGCTGAATGGACAAATTAATTAGGAAATAGCAAGTAAAGAATGAACACAGCGTTCTTAGAAAACAACAAAACATTTTATCGAAAGGTCATTTTAAAGCAATGATTAGTCATCAATTTCTTATTAATCTGACTAACTAAAGTAATATATGCTTTTAGTATTTACAACAAAAGAAGAACAGATTTATAAGACTGACTGAGACTCAAACAGGTGCCATTCATACAGGTAACAAGTGGGGGACAGAAAAGCTTCTTACAGAAGACGTTACAGGTCTGTGAGAGCCAGAGATTTTCCTTGTTTGAGGTGACCAAATACTTATTTTCCACCCTGATTTACGAATAAATTCTTTACAAATCCTACCATGTGGATTCATGGATTTTTTTTTCACATTCTGTCTCTCACAGTTGAAGTGTACCTCTGGTGCAAATTACTGACCTCTGTCATCATTTTAGGTGGGGGAACTTGCACAATCGGTGGCTGACTAAATACTTTTTTGCCCCACTGTAGTTCTCAAAAGACATCTGTGCTGTACATGTGCGCACAATATATTGTACAATATTTTCACATTAATATGTAGATCATATAGCTTAGATGCAGCTAACAGACTCTTTCGATTTTCAACGAATAACAATTACTTACGTGTAATATTACTTGGATATTATATAGCATTTAGTCACTTTTATTTAAAATGAAACATTAAATGTGTATACTACTCAGGTATATAGTATGTAAGATAATAAAATAATGAACTACATTAGGGTAGCTGTGAAGGAAGAAATGCCAACCCTGGCTTTTACAAAACATACCTGTAAGCACCTCTACAGCTTACATATACCAATTTATAACAAATTATACCAAGCAGCTCTTGGTTTTACCTACTTCCTTAACTTACAAGCATGAAAGTGCTGTAGACTTTTTTTTATCTGTTCAGGATAATGTAAAAAACATTGTATTTTCAAAAAATAACAAACTAAGCATTTATTTGCATTGTGCAAATGAAATCACAATTTTTCATGCCTCAGTTTTTGTGGAATCAAATACTGATGAATTTCCTCTATATTGTGTATTGTCTCATACGTTAAAACAAAACATCAAATTAGTTTCAGGTTCTTAAAAATGAACCTACATGCTTTTTAACAGCCACCAGAAAGTGACATCTGTGGTTTGCAAAATGCCTCCTATCCTACCAAAGTTTGAGGGAAAATGAGTTCTAACTTGATGCCTATGAAAACTTTCATTCTGAATTCATGGTATCAGTCATTCAGGTATACTGGTAAAAACATTTGCCTTACAGGTGAAATATTCCCAGTTTGCGAGTGGTACGCATAACAAACTCAGCAAAACAAGGTCACAAGTTAGTGTAACCCAGCGCTGGGGGTATCAAAGAACCAAGACGGTGATGGTGAAAACACTTATCTCAAAGCTCCATAACAGAACATCAGGGCAGCGGTTGATGAAAGTTAGGGTTACCCTCATCATTCATAATGTCTATGACCTTAAGAAAAAATGTGCCAGAATTTTTAACATATAATAATAAAAGTCTTTACCTGCACAGAAAACACCAGCATCATGTTCATGCCCGCAGGTTGCTCTTGTAAAACCTTTGCCCGAGCATTGCTGAATAGAAGTCACAGTCTCAAAGCATGAAGAGCTAGCCTCCACCACTGGTCCACTGCCTGGGCCGTAAAAAGCAGCACCAGGAGCATTCATGGAACGTCCACACTCCAGAGTCTCGCACACCACTCCAGCTTTACTTAGAGTCCAGTCCGTGTCACACACTGTGTGCCACTGGGAATCATGACGAACTTCCACTCTTCCAGAGCACTTATGAGTACCGTTAACCAACCGGACAGTCAAGCTTCCTGTGAAGGCAAATAAAGAGCACATGCAACCACAGGATATGGAAGAATACAACATAAATACAAGAACTGTGATGTATTTAGTAGAGATGGACCGATCTGATATTGCGTATCGGATATCGGAGAAAAATAAAAAATGTAATCCGATCCATTAAATATCACGAAAGCACCTCACAAAACTTGCAACACGCCGTAACTCGCCTCAGAACGTTAGCACGTCGGAGCAGTATGCATCACGTGATAGAGCGGCTCTTAGTGATGTGCGATACCACTGATTTCCTTTCCGATCCGATACCAAGTACGTTTCAGGGTGGTATTGACGATACTGATCCGATACCGATACTTTATACAAAAAAACATATTTTATTTATTGTATCTCAAATTATAGCATCATAATGATTACAGGACATCAGATTACTTGTTCTTATCACTTAATAATGCAGAGTTCATCACATAGAAATAAAAAAAACTGAAGTTGTGCGCTAGTGTATGAATGTGACAGTGAATGAATAGTGGTATTGTAAAGCGCTTTGGGTGCCTTGAAAAGCGCTATATAAATCCAATCCATTATTATTATTATTATTATTTGAATACCTTGCCTGCCTGCAGCACTAAAGGACTCTGTGAGAGAGTGTGTCTCGCCCTAGCAGCACCTGTCCCTCTCCTCTTCTTCAGTTCGTCTCAACATACGTGCCTCATATTCTGTGATATGATTTACTCTGAGGTGTTTGACAAGGTTAGTGATGTTGCCACAACCATACATGCCAACCCTCCCGATTTTTCCGGGAGAATCCCGGAGCCACCATTCTCCCAATTTTCCACCTGGACAACAAAATTGAAAAACCATATTGCAGAATTCATAGCGCGGCCGAGCCAATTCTAGTTTCCAACAATGGCGGCAGCGACTTAGTTTGAATATTACTCTTATTTCTCTTTGTGGGTCGCAAAAAAACCCAAACTTTTAACATGTTTTCAGGTGAGAATGTAGCTGTGTAAACTTCAAATATCTGAGCCGATCGACACATCGTCTTCAAACCCCCGCGGGCTTTCACTACTCGGGTTAAACATGATATATAAGTCACTTTGATAACTTAAAAATGTTATTGTTTGGCTTTTTCAGTGTTTTGTTTGTTCGTGAGTAAATCGGTTTGGCTGAGATTAAAGTTATTAGATTAGATTAAATTAAATTAAACTTTATACAGCCGTATTTCGCACATGACTATGAAAGGCGGAAGAGGAAGTAGTTCCTTTGAATGTAGACAATCCGAATGTTATAGTTTCTTTCCACTGTGTTGCTGTTAATGATAAACTACAAATTAACCCTAAATTACTAAAAATATCGATATTTTAAGGTGAGAATCGATTCTAGAACATAAATGACTGGTATCGGAGGAATCGATATTTCAGGATCGATCCGCACATCACTAGCGGCTCTGGCATGCGGGACCTGTCGGTGGTCTGGATAGCATTTGGAGCTTCGCTAGCAACCCGGCATTTCATCTCCGACAAAGTTATCCTCGAGAGAAGTAAAGCAAGTGTGTAAGTCCATCTCTGAATGTTTGTAAAGCATTCCTGCTAAGCTTAACAAGCGACTGCCTCTTCTTGCTGCTACTTCAATCATGAAACTGCTTAATGATCAGCTGATCGGCTTTTCTGTCGCGAGTCCGTCTCTCTTGTTTGTTTTTGGCCCACTTTGCACCAGAAAGAGGAAACCAGCGGCTGAACAACAGCAGCACGTTTAAGCTTGATCAGCTGTTGCTAGAATGTATTTAATATTACTTTCTACACCAGGATCTTTTTCTACGTAGCTGACGCTGGTAACTGTGCAGGGGCGGATCTAGCAAAGTTTAGCCAGGGGGGCCGATAGGGCATTAACAGGGAAAAGGGGGGGCACAAAGACATACTTTTCTTTCTTATTCTCATTTAAAATGTCGAGCTTTTAATAAATAATTATCTGACACCCAAAGTTTTAATTTGATCTAAAATGAATAGAAGTCAATTACTGTATATAGTGACTTTTAAGTCTAATATATATACCCTAGTAAGTTATAGTACTTTTTCCTTTGGGAAGGTACCATCTGTGCAGTCTGCAATTTTGTTGAAGAAAGATGTTGAATCTATTTAATATTTCTTGAAAAATAATTGATTTCTGTGCATTTTTTTTCACACTGCATCAAATTAAGGTTGATTACGTCGATTAAGCATCATGAGGTGGAGCGTGAGGGGTGGTTCCATATTTTTTATTTATTTATTTTTGTTGTTGCTGGGAGTTGGAACCCTATTAGTTAGGTTGCTTAATATTTATGCTAAGTACTCTTTAAAATACCAGAATAGGGAGGATGGTGTAGGTTTAAGTTTATTAGATTGATCAGTATTGCTGAACTATGAAATATTTTTTTTGCATACAGGTATAACAGAATAGCTTTAGTGTAGTTGTTGTTTTAAACTTGAGTATGAACTTATACAAAATGCAGCAAGATATTTAAAAAACAGTTTTGTTGATTAAAAAACACTATATCGGATTCATATCGGTATTGGCAGATATCCAAATTTATGATATCGGTATCGGTATCGGACATAAAAAAGTGGTATCGTGCCATCTCTAGTACCAATGTACCTGCACATGTGATGTGACAATAAAAGTGATTTGATTTGATTTGATTACATCAAAGGACACCATGGTTTCATCTGGATCCAGGGTAAGTTTCTGGACCTTGTCGGTGAAGTCGGTGGAGTTCTTGATGTGGTGTGGGGTGTTCCCCACAAGAGGAGCAAGGATGGTAGCAAGGTGTTTAGCAATGTTATAAGTGGCTGAGTTTATGCTACTGACTATGGGTCTGAGTGGGACAGCTTCCTTGTGGATTTTAGGAAGTCCATAGATGCAGGGTATGGCATCCCCTGGGTAAAGGCGGTGATATGTAAGGCGATGGTTTGAAAGAGGAGTGAAAGAAGCCATCTATGTCCACTGTGAGCGACCATCTTTGAACAGAGGCGGTGGTTTACGACACCAACTCTCTGCCTTCTATAATCCAGTTTTGAGATCCCTTCCAAGACGCCTTAACGCCCACTCACATCCTGGGCCATCTGATCTCAGGAATTCGCATGATAAGGTGGGGCCAGGCTTCACAATGAACTCACCCGAAATTCTGGCTGATTGGGACCCACACCCAGTTTCATACCTTGGCTCAGGCGATTAGAGGATCATCAGGGGGTCCTTTTGTCCCTCTGTGGGGGGTTACTCCCACTAGGTTTATATCTGGGACTCTCCACCATTTGACCTTAGAACTGAAGAAGCTTCTCGGATGAGAAGTGAAACGTCTTCAAGCAACTTAAAGAAGTCCAGACGCCTTTCTTTGCAAGCTCCTTTGACTACGGAACTGGAGTGCATCAAATAAAAATACTAATAGTACCTGGAACTGCTGAGGATGTCACTTTTACAATATAGATATTAATGTAAAATCACAACTGCTGCGCACCTAGTTTGTCTAAAAACACGATTGTTTATACACTTTTTGTCGTGAGAGCTAAATTAAGACAGAGCTAGCTAGATGTGATTGACAAATAAATATATAGGGTCCTGTAGCCACATATCACCTGTGGGATGCAGAGCCAGGGTACAGCAGGATAGTACAGAGCAGGGGAGTGTGTGCCCAAATGTGTGGAGAACTGGCTGGGTTTCTGGCTGATCTCAGCAACAGAAAGCTGAACTGAAAAGACTATTTATTTACCATTATTACTGCTGATGCTGGAGGGGCTCAAAATGACTCCTGCAACCAGTTCTCATTTTAAGAAATTCCAAGTGTATTTTAAATTTGACTACAACTCTAGAGCAAGTTGGAACAAGGCCATGTCTTCTATGAACGGTCTGTAAACATTTGCAAACTAGGAAGACCAGTTGCTGGCCTTCTGGGAGAGAAATGAAGGAATGAAGAAGAAGGAAGCAATGAAGCTTATTTGCAAAAGAATAGCATACTACATTAGCTGTAGTATGGTGTTTAGCACTGTCTCACTGAAATATACATGGAAACAGATGTCCTCTTGCTGGAAGCATCTGTTTCTCTCAAACTTGTATCTGGATTTCAGCATTTTTGGTGTTTTGCCAGATTTTCAAGCTGGCAGTTTCATGGGCATTAATGCACCCTCATACTGATGCTGTTGCTTGAACTAAACACTGATAAGCAGTGTGGTCCCTCACCTCTTTACTTCACAGGACACAGCTTGTTTTCCAAAAAGAATTTCACTTTTTGATGATGTTAAATTCTTTTTGATGTTCTATTGTGAATCAAATATGGATTTGGAAATCTTTGCATTTATTCTTTACTTACATTAAAAAAAAAAGAGAGAGATCCAAACGTTTTGTTTTTGGAACTGGGTTTGTATGTTTTTCTTACCTGTGCAGAAAACACCAGCCACTACAGTGTTGTTGCAAGTCCTGTCTCGATATGGATATGGTCTTTGTTGACACTGATTCAATGTAGACTCTTTTCCATTGCATTCAATTTGATTTGTCCAGGTCTGTCCTGTACCAGGGCCAAGCTGAAGAAGCTTATGGGGCCTCCCACAGTCCAACTGTCTGCACACCACTGCTGCATCATTGATGTCCCAGAATTCAGCACACACAGTCCCCCACTGGCCTTTATTGAAATACTCTACTCTTCCATCACAACGAGTGGATCCACCGGCTAATCTCACATTACCTGGAAAGCAGAGTTGTTATATAAATCTAACATAAATCTATAAATACAAAGAAAAATGCAAAGAAAAAATACAAATGAATCATAACACCAACAGACCATTTTAGACTTAATCAGCTATGATTTCTGCATCATACAGATGGAATATGTTTTACAGCATCAAAAATGACTCAGAAATTGCTCTTTTCATAGTTTCAATGTTGCTGACCCTTGGCTATATTACCCTCACTGGGTGATCAGTGCATCATCAGATCAATAGCATTTACCATTGTAAGTGGTTAATATTCATCTGTTGGTCTCACATTGTGTTTGCTAAATGCTGGTAATGGTGAAATCACTTGTTAGGCATAAAATAATTTGCCATATTGCATTTGTTCTACCTAGAAGTAGACTGTCCGTTTAAAGGTATCAAAAAGGTCAAGTTGACCTCAATGAGTAAAGGGATTAATTATGTGTAATAATAATTTAGAGCAATTCAATAGCAAAATTGTGTAAAGGAACGGTGACGAAGAGAGGAAAACAATATAAAAACAAAGGTTCAAAGATGCAGCTTCATGCTAAATCGTAGTGGCCAGCTAGCTGACTGAAACATGTGCAGCACTGAAGCACAGCCTATTTACAGCATCTTATATGGTCCAATTCTTTTGTGTGTTTGTGAATAGTTTGTGTGTGCTTTGACTGGCCTAATCCTATTGGTCTTCTCTCCGTATATGCACTGCTATAGCACACATATGTGAAGATAGTGACATAATTTATAACTTGGGTTGTACCTGATTAACACGTGTTTAGAATACAAAAATATTGATCTGATGGTTTGCATCAACATTTTAAATGGAAAAAATCATACTTGATCTGTTTGATAAAGAACTTCATGGATTCATTTTCTTTTTGAAATATAACATCAAGTCTTACCTGAGCATACCACAGAGGCCTCTTCAATACCTTCGGTGATAGATCTGGTATAGTTCCTAAATGTGCACTGTGTGACAGAGCTCTCTCTACCATTACAGTGGATCTCATGTCCTCTCAGATCTTCACCTTGACCAAATGGCCTTGAAATCTTGACAGGATCTCCACAATTTATCTCTCTGCACACCACTGTGGCTTCATTCATTCCCCAGTTAATATTAAATGCTGGTGACCAGTGTTCACCATAGTGGACCTCCACCCTTCCTGAGCACATGTCAGTCCCATTGATGAGTCGAATGGTAGCTACAAAGCAAAGAGGACAAAATCAGCAATTAGTTGGTGCCTGAAAATTGCATTAATTGAAATCCATACAATATTCTCACTGATGTCATGGAAATAACTGTGATATAAATTGTGGTGGGCCGTGGACTGCGGTGCCGTGCGGATGCGCCTGCACGTCATCTGCAATCACGCCCTCTGTGTTAAAACATGGGGAATCAGTGTTGTAAGTTGGTGTAAGTGTGGTTGAAGCCGAGAGCTGCAGCCACATATAATAAAGATGGCTTTAAACAACAACCTCTGGAAGTCATATCTAAAGATTAAAAAAAGACACAATATTTAATGACAAAATAGTTTTTACCTGAACAAATCACTCCTGCATCTTCACGGTGGCTGCACGAAAATCTTTCAGAGGGGCGATACCTGCAGTGCCCAAGGGACGTCTCATTACCCAAACAGTTGACAGAAGAATACCAGATCACTCCTTGGCCTTCACCAAAGAAGGCCTTAGATTTTGCTCTCTGAGGTGTTCCACAGTCCATGGCTCTGCACACCACCTCAGCCTCTCTGAAGTCCCAGCCATCATCACACACTGTTCCCCACCGGCCGTCATGCAGAATCTCCACTCGGCCAGAGCATCGGTCAATGCCGTTCACAAGCCTTATTGGTGGTTTACCTGAGGGCACACGTTAAAGTATTAGCAATGAATATTTCAATCTCTTACTCTTTTTTAAATCCAGTATTATCAGATTTTTAAGGATATCTTCAACATGCTGTATGCTGATGAGTGTCCATCATTATCTGAAATGCAACCAAAAGATGTTAATGGCTGTCCCCCTTTTCAGGCAATAGCTCATACTGGACAGTTCGTATGTCCAAGAAACTTTAAAATGTGGTTAACTTCAGCAACAGGTGTATTTTAACCCAAAACACAGTCTTTCACCAAATGTAACCAGGAAATTTTGGTGCTAAAGCTCAGGTCCATTTACTGTTGATTTAACTGAGGAAAAACATAGATAGAGTATGCTTGGGGAGTGTGAGTGTGTGTGTACAGTGTCCATTTCTGTTTGTCTCCACTGTGGCGTGGGTGTGGTCTCTGGCCGGCTGCAGAGGAGGGGTGACGCAGTGAGATCCTGGGGTGGCGCAGGGGCGGGGTGAACAGGTGTGCTGGGATATGAATGTGGTTGTGACTCTTTATATGTTCACAGTGACAGTCGGAGGAGGAGGAGAGCGGACCTGACAGTAGAGAGAGGGAGTGTCTGTGTCCCAGTGAAAAGCGAAAACCACAGTTGTAAATAAAAGTATTGCTGTCATCACAGTCGTGTCCAGTGTATGCATAATGGGTCAAACGTTACACCACATTGGGCGAGTGCCAATTATTTGTATATGTGTGCATGAGGGTGGGAATGCATGTTTGTGTCTGTGTGTGCCTGTTTGTCTGTGTCTATATGTCAGGTCTTAGACTCCACCTCTCTGGACATATCTCAGGCCCCCCCAGGTGTGGGGACCTATCACCCCCACAACGCTCCCTGTCGGTGGCTGATGCCCTCAGATGTTGGTGCGTTTCAGGCAGGTTCTCGGTGTCCAGGGCTGGGCGCTCAGGTATGTACCGGCTCATTCCTGGTGGCTGCTTGGCAGGGCCTGCCGCTTGTGGCTCAGTTGGGCCCCTTCGGCAGGGGTGGGGGGGGGGCTCGTTCCGTGGGCCCAGGGCTCGGTTCATTCTTGTGCGGCTGCCTGCCGGCGGAGCCCGTGGACACATCACTGCAGCCCCCTGTGGATTCCGCACCAGGACTGCTGGGTGACCCAACATCTGTGGCTTTCCTCAGTTCTTTCCAGGAGGGTGGGGCGGTTGCCCCTCCGATGGTCCTCCCTGGGCTCTTGGACTCTGGGGGGCCTCTAGATATTTGGGGCCTGGATCTCCTCCATGCCTGCTTCTTGTTCTGGGACGGGGATATGGCTCCCCACACCATCTAGCAGATCGTTAAATGGAGAAACATTTTGAATACATGCACACTCACGCACACAGATGTGCACACAGGTGTACACATGGGTGCTCACAGACACAAACTATATCTTTCTTGGCTGCTACCTCAAAGCCCATTGTGCATTGTGTGTGTGTTTTGGTGCAAGAAATAGTGAGTCAATGTGTGACATAACGACAGATGTAGAGTCAGCGAGGAAGAGAGCAAGTTCTGCCTATTCCAAAATAAAAAACATAAATGCATATGTTCAGTCGACCACAATCGTAGACAAGGGAATTGACACAGGGGGAAGGGGACACAAAGAGTGACAGAAAACAGCACACATGATGAGGGACTACAAAATAAGACGGGAAGTACAGAATAGAGAGAGACAGACTAGACACACAGACAAAAAGGGAAACAAATGGAGAAGAGACAGACTACATACAGGGAAATGTCTAAAAAATTAGACAAGGAACTAAGAACTACAAATATGAATAACTAAACTAGGACGCACTTGAAAATACTAATAGACACAAAAGGCTAAAAATGTAGAAAGAAACCCACCAAATAATAAACCCATAAAAAAAAAACCAAACTAGGGAAAAAAACAGAAACCATGAAAATGAGAGAAAGTGAGTGTAATCCCAGTGCCTGTTTGAAGACAGATTAAATGGCAGGGTTAAATCTGAAAGAGTATCTGTTTTGAAGTCAGTACCAAATCAAAAATACAGATTCATCTGCTCTGGTGACCCCTTGGGAAAAAAGAGAAAAAAAATTAAGTGCATAAATCTCAGTCATTATCTGTTTCAAAGTATGATCAGTGGCTAACAACTTGTAATTATTAACCAATAAGCGTGTAGTTTACCAGTTACCCTCCCACCACCACCACAGTTGGTGACATCACATCACAGCAATAATTTATACTGTTTGTGATCTCGTAAAAAATTATGTTTGAATTTTGAACATAATAATAAGGATTTACCTGCACAGAGAACACCAGCATCATATTCATGCCCGCAGGTTGCTCTTGTAAAACCTTCGACTGAGCATTGCTGAAGAGATGTCACATTGCCGAAACATGAATTGCTAGCCTCCACCACTGACCCACTGCCACGGCCAAAAACAGCACCACCATGAGCTTTCACGGCACGTCCACACTGCAGCGACTCACACACCACTCCAGCTTTACTTAGAGTCCAGTCCGTGTCACACACTGTGTGCCACTGGTCATCATGACGAACCTCCACTCTTCCAGAGCACTCATCATTACTGTTAACCAAGCGCACCGCCAAGCTTTCTGTGAAGGCAAATAAACTAAATATGTAGCCACAGGTATGGAAGAATGACCAACAAACAACTGTCATGTATTTAGGTATATTGTACACCGGTTAAACTCAGAAGACAATATTAAACTTTTTTTTTAAATGATAAAGAACATTTAAGCTGCCAATATTACTCTTTGGCATTTTTCATATAAAATTTTTTTAAAAATTTATGTAAAAACAGAATTCAGTGATTAATTCATATTTTATTCACAATACAATCTTCAAAATATCAAATGTTTAGCCTGAGAAAATGCACAATTTTAACATCACAACTTATAATCTAAACATTTTTATTAGTAGAGAACTTGGAGTATGTCAAATAAAAGTACTAATAGTACCTGGAACCGCTGAGGATGTCACTTTGACCACATAGAAATTAATGTAAAATCACAACTGCTGCACCTGGTTTGTCTAACAACACGATTGTTTACACACTTTTTGTCGTGAAAGCTGCTCAAAATTAAGACAGAGCTAGCTAGATGTGATTGACAAATAAATATATAGGGTCCTGTAGCCACATATCACCTGTGGGATGCAGAGCCAGGGTACAGCAGGATAGTACAGAGCAGGGGAGTGTGTGCCCAAATGTGTGGAGAACTGGCTGGGTTTCTGGCTGATCTCAGCAACAGAAAGCTGAACTGAAAAGACTATTTATTTACCATTATTACTGCTGATGCTGGAGGGGCTCAAAATGACCCCTGCAACCAGTTCTCATTTTAAGAAATTCCAAGTGTATTTTAAATTTGACTACAACTCTAGAGCAAGTTGGAACAAGGCCATGTCTTCTATGAACGGTCTGTAAACATTTGCAAACTAGGAAGACCAGTTGCTGGCCTTCTGGGAGAGAAATGAAGGAATGAAGAAGAATGAAGCAATGAAGCTTATGTGCAAAAGAATAGCATACTACATTAGCTGTAGTATGGTGTTTAGCACTGTCTCACTGAAATATACATGGAAACAGATGTCATCTTGCTGGAAGCATCTGTTTCTCTCAAACTTGTATCTGGATTTCAGCATTTTTGGTGTTTTGCCAGATTTTCAAGCTGCCAGTTTCATGGGCATTAATGCACCCTCATACTGATGATGTTGCTTGAACTAAACACTGATAAGCAGTGTGGTCCCTCACCTCTTTACTTCACAGGACACAGCTTGTTTTCCAAAAAGAATTTCACTGATGATGTTAAATTCTTTTTGATGTTCTATTGTGAATCAAATATGGATTTGGAAATCTTTGCATTTATTCTTTACTTACATTTTTAAAAAGATCCAAACGTTTTGTTTTTGGAACTGGGTTTGTATGTTTTTCTTACCTGTGCAGAAAACACCAGCCACTACAGTGTTGTTGCAAGTCCTGTCTCGATATGGATATGGTCTTTGTTGACACTGATTCAATGTAGACTCTTTTCCATTGCATTCAATTTGATCTGTCCAGGTCTGTCCTGTACCAGGGCCAAGCTGAAGAAGCTTATGGGGCCTCCCACAGTCCAACTGTCTGCACACCACTGCTGCATCATTCATGTCCCAGGATTCAGCACACACAGTCCCCCACTGGCCTTTATTGAAATACTCTACTCTTCCATCACAACGAGTGGATCCACCGGCTAATCTCACATTACCTGGAAAGCAGAGTTGTTATATAAATCTAACATAAATCTATAAATACAAAGAAAAATGCAAAGAAAAAATACAAATGACTCATAACACCAACAGACCATTTTAGACTTAATCAGCTATGATTTCTGCATCATACAGATGGAATATGTTTTACAGCATCAAAAATGACTCAGAAATTGCTCTCTTCATAGTTTCAATGTTGCTGACCCTTGGCTATATTACCCTCACTGGGTGATCAGTGCATCATCAGATCAATAGCATTTACCATTGTAAGTGGTTAATATTCATCTGTTGGTCTCACATTGTGTTTGCTAAATGCTGGTAATGGTGAAATCACTTGTTAGGCATAAAATAATTTGCCATATTGCATTTGTTCTACCTAGAAGTAGACTGTCCATTTAAAGGTATCAAAAAGGTCAAGTTGACCTCAATGAGTAAAGGAATTACTTTGACCCCCTGAGCGACCGTGGTTCAGGGGGTTGGGAAGTGTATTTGTAACCGGAAGGTCGCTGGTTCAATTCCCGATTCTCTGTCCTTGATTCTCTGTCCTTGTCGTTGTGTCCTTGGGCAAGACACTTTACCTACTGGTGTTGGCCAGAGGGGCCGATGGCGCGATATGGCAGCCTCGCTTCTGTCAGTCTTCCCCAGGGCAGCTGTGGCTACAACCGTAGCTTGCCTCCACCAGTGTGTGAATGCGAGAGTGAATGAATAGTGGCATTGTAAAGCGCTTTGGGTGCCTTGAAAAGCACTATATAAATCCAATCCATTATTATTATTATGTGTAATAATAATTTAGAGCAATTGAATAGCAAAATTGTGTAAAGGAAGGGTGAAGAATAGAGGAAAACAATATAAAAACAAAGGTTCAAAGATGCAGCTTCATGCTAAATCGTAGCGGCCAGCTAGCTGACTGAAACATGTGCAGCACTGAAGCACAGCATCTTATATCTTATATGGTCCAATTCTTTTGTGTGTTTGTGAATAGTCTGTGTGTGCTTTGGCTGGCCTAATCCTATTGGTCTTCTCTCTGTATATGCACTGCTATAGCACACATATGTGAAGATAGTGACATAATTTATAACTCGGGTTGTACCTGATTAACACGTGTTTAGACTACAAAAATATTGATCTGATGGTTTGCATCAACATTTTAATTGGAAAAAATCATACTTGATCTGTTTGATAAAGAACTTCATGGATTCATTTTCTTTTTGAAATATAGCATCAAGTCTTACCTGAGCATACCACAGAGGCCTCTTCAATACCATCGGTGATAGATCTGGTATAGTTCCTAAATGTACACTGTGTGACAGAGCTCTCTCTACCATTACAGTGGATCTCATGTCCTCTCAAATCTTCAATTTGACCAAATGACCTTGAAATCTTGACAGGATCTCCGCAATTTATCTCTCTGCACACCACTGTAGCTTCATTCATTCCCCAGTTAATATTAAATGCTGGTGACCAGTGTTCACCATAGTGGACCTCCACCCTTCCTGAGCACATGTCAGTCCCATTGATGAGTCGAATGGTAGCTACAAAGCAAAGAGCACAAAATCAGCAATTAGTTGGTGCCTGAAAATTGCATTAATTGAAATCCATACAATATTCTCACTGATGTCATGGAAATAACTGTGATATAAATTGTGGTGGGCCGTGGACTGCGGTGCCGTGCGGATGCGCCTGCACGGCATCTGCAATCACGCCCTCTTTGTTAAAACATGGGGAATCAGTGTTGTAAGTTGGTGTAATAATAAAGATGGCTCTAAACAACGACCTCTGGACCTGCCATGACCTGCCATGACTCAATCACGCCACATAAATAAAACAGAAATTCTGATCAGAAAAAAAATTCCAAAGTCATATCTAAAGATTAAAAAAAGACAAAATATTTAATGACAAAATAGTTTTTACCTGAACAAATCACTCCTGCATCTTCACGGTGGCTGCAATAAAAGCTTTCAGAGGGGCGATACCTGCAGTGCCCAAGGGACGTCTCATTACCCAAACAGTTGACAGAAGAATACCAGACCACTCCTTGGCCTTCACCAAAGAAGGCATTAGATTTTGCTCTCTGAGGTGTTCCACAGTCCATGGCTCTGCACACCACCGCAGCATCTTTTAAGTCCCAGTCATCATCACACACTGTTCCCCACCGGCCATCATGCAGAATCTCCACTCGGCCAGAGCATCGGTCAATGCCGTTCACAAGCCTTATTGGTGGTTTACCTGAGGGCACACGTTAAAGTATTAGCAATGAATATTTCAATCTCTTACTCTTTTTTTAAATCCAGTATTATCAGATTTTTAAGGATATCTTCAACATGCTGTATGCTGATGAGTGTCCATCATTATCTGAAATGCAACCAAAAGAGGTTAATGGCTGTCCCCCTTTTCAGACAATAGCTCATACTGGGCAGTTCGTATGTCCAAGAAACTTTAAAATGTGGTTAACTTCAGCAACAGGTGTATTTTAACCCAAAACACAGTCTTTCACCAAATGTAACCAGGAAATTTTGGTGCTAAAGCTCAGGTCCATTTACTGTTGATTTAACTGAGGAAAAACATTCAAGCATTAACAATAAAAATTACAAGCTGTCAAATAGATCCCATTAAGCAGTTTATTAAGAACTTAACCCTTTAAGACCTACCATAGAACCAAGTCCGCCAGAGCTTATATTATTTTTTTACATTCTGTAGTGCCATTTTTGGGAGCATTTCAAGTTGATATACATCAATACAACCATTATAGCCCAAATTTTAATAATATGTATGCATTAAGCTCATAGTAATTATACAAATTGCAAAAAAGTGCAATAAACTACAAAAAACTTTATATTTTTGTTTTTTTAACATATATTTCTAGTTAGAGAAATTTAAGAGGCTTATCCCCCCAAAACAGTAAATACAAAAAAGTTGCACAAAATAGTTTCCCACCACAGGAAATTTATTTTAAGTGTCTTTATAGTTTTATTTTTGAAATACACCAACTTTATATACTGCAGGAAAAACTAAAATAAATGCAAATTTGCAAAAAAACAGCATATGCATCAAAATAAACTATTTCCAGCAGTGCAATATGAGTCCTAAGCGTCCCAGAAATGACACAGAAAGTCATAAAGTCAAACATTACTTTTAAAAACAACAGTATAGGCTCATAAGGCCCTGATGGTAAAAAACTACTGTGGCGGAGGTGTGGTCCCGGGCGCGGCTGCAGGGGAGGAGTGGTGCGGTGAGCTCAACGGGGCGGTGCTGGAGACGCAGGTGAGAACAGCTGATGGCGTTTTGGACTGATGATGGTTTCCTTCCCTTTTATAGTGAGACGGGAGAGGAGCGGAGAACAGCGGGAAATCAGCTGAGACCAACAGCTGTCAGACTGTGGCCGGTCATAACGCAGGACGCTATAAATAAATGTGGCATCTGGAGACAAAGACCTGTGCGTGTGTGTCCCTGTGTGTAGTGCATTTCACAACTACATTTCCGCAAAATGACGTCACTTCCGGTTTCGGGCAGGACATGGCGGACATGCGATAGTTCGTGCTGATGGACATAGGAAGTGTTACAAACAGCTGATCGGATTGGCAAAGCCTGTTTCTGGAATATTATGTTTTTGTTGCTGCAAGTGCTTTTTATGCAGTTTTTGCAAAGCTATATGTGGAGAAAGGTATGGGGTCTTCACACCGCTGTTCTCTGTACCTCCTCGGGGAGTGGGCTGAAAGGAGGAGTTGGCCATCTGATTGGGGTCTAGGGATGCTGGGCCTCCCTGCACCTCCCTGGAAAAAGGGCAACATCTTTTGGGTCTAGGGGCAAATTACCCTTCTAGATGCAAGGGTACCTGGACCTGGGGTATAGAGTATGCTTGGGGAGTGTGAGTGTGTGTACAGTGTCCATTTCTGTTTGTAGTATTGCTGTCATCACAGTCGTGTCCAGTGTATGCATAACGGGTCAAACATTATACCACATTGGGGAAGTGCCAATTAGTTTTATATGTGTCTAGGTCTAGTCTTCAGATTTGCGTCCCCGCTGTGTCGGTCGGTGGAGTTTAATAAACTCGGCCGTCTGCTCATTGCTATCTAAAATATAACAGGACACTGGCGTAAATTCTCGACTGTCTCACACTGTTTAACGTTCATTCAGCTGTGTGAAAATCCCGGAGGAACCCACCTGATGGATTAATAAAGTTTTATTTAATCTAATAACTTTGATCTCAGCCAAACCGATTTACTCCGGAACAAATAAAACACAGAAAAAGGCAAACAATTACATTTTTAAGTTATCTGACTGACTTATATATCATGTTTAACCTGAGTAGCGAAAGAGTGGGGGTCTGAAAACGATGAAGCCGGGAGTCCGCTGCTCCTGCCGGCTGGAGTGACCATTGAATCCCCCCGCTTGCTATTGAGCGGTTGTGTAACTTCTCCGAAAACGTCAGCACACTTTTGCAAATATGCGATGTCTTGATAAACCAAGCAGATATTTGTAATTTACACAGCTACTTAAAATAGGTTTAAAGTTTATTTTGTGGCCCAGAAAGATTAATAAGAGTCCTAAACACTACAGATTACCATACAAAGATCACTACTCTCCTCAGTGACAACAATACCTACGAAGCCTTAAAGCGAGACCCCATAAGCAGCTACAAAAAGAAAGTTATAGCTTGCCTTCAAGACTTTGAAAAGGACAAAATTATTGACCGCCTTACATATCACCACCTTTACCCAGGGGATGCCATACCCTGCATTTACGGACTTCCTAAAATCCACAAGGAAGCTGTCCCACTCAGACCCATAGTCAGTAGCATAAACTCAGCCACTTATAACATTGCTAAACACCTTGCTACCATCCTTGCTCCTCTCGTGGGGAACACCCCACACCACATCAAGAACTCCACCGACTTCACCGACAAGGTCCAGAAACTTACCCTGGATCCAGATGAAACCATGGTGTCCTTTGATGTAGTCTCTCTCTTCACTTGCATACCCACCACGGAGGCCGTGGAGACTGTCAGAAAACAACTACAAGAAGACAGCTCCTTGGAGGACAGGACCAACTTCACACCCGATCAGATCTGCACACTGTTAGACCTCTGCCTCACCACTACATATTTCAAATACAACGAAGGCTTTTACAGACAAAAACATGGCTGTGCCATGGGCTCCCCCGTGTCACCTATTGTAGCCAACCTTTACATGGAGGAAGTGGAAAGGAAGGCTCTTGGCTCTTTCAAAGGAAGAGTACCCAGCCACTGGTACAGATATGTGGACGACACCTGGGTCAAAATCAAGACACAAGAAGTGGAATCCTTCACTGCACACATTAACGCTGTGGATAAAAACATCAAGTTCACCAGGGAAGACACAAAGGGCAACTGTTTGCCTTTCCTGGACTGCGCTGTGCACATTGAAGAGAACGGCAACCTCAACATCGAAGTTTACCGGAAGCCCACACACACCGACCAGTACCTCCTCTTTGACTCCCATCACCCTCTGGAACACAAACTTGGAGTAATTAGAACCCTACACCACCGGGCAGAACATGTTCCCTCTAAGCCTGAAGGAAAAAAGAAGGAACACACACATGTAAAGGAAGCACTCAAAACGTGCGGCTATCCTAAATGGGCGTTCTTAAAGTCAGCAAAGAGGCACAGAAAAGAAGACCAGACACCAGCGAGGGAGGATAAGAAGGACAGACGCAACAACATTGTCCCCCCCATTGTGTATCAGAAAAACTCAGGAGAGTTTTCTCCAAGCATGACATCCCGGTGCATTTCAGACCCAGCAACACGCTCAGACAAAAACTGGTTCACCCGAAAGACAAAACGCCAAAACACAGACTTAACAATGTGGTGTATGCTGTACAGTGCAGCAAGGAATGCTCAGACCTCTACATTGGAGAGACCAAACAGCCACTTCACAAGCGCATGGCACAACATAGAAGAGCCACCTCCACAGGACAAGACTCAGCAGTCCATCTGCATCTTAAGCATAAAGGACACTCTTTCGAGGATGCCAATGTTCACATTTTGGACAGAGAGGACAGATGGTTTGAAAGAGGAGTGAAAGAAGCCATCTATGTCCACTGTGAGCGACCATCTTTGAACAGAGGCGGTGGTTTACGACACCAACTGTCTGCCATCTATAATCCAGTTTTGAGATCCCTTCCCAGATGCCTTAACACCCACTCACATCCTGGGCCATCTGATCTCAGGAATTTGCATGATAAGGTGGGGCCAGGTTTCACAATGAACTCACCCGAAATTCTGGCTGATTGGGACCCACACCCAGTTTCACACCTTGGCTCAGGCGATTAGAGGATCATCAGGGGGTCCTTTTGTCCCTCTGTGGGGGGTCACTCCCACTAGGTTTATATCTGGGACTCTCCACCATTTGACCTTAGAACTGAAGAAGCTTCTCGGATGAGAGGTGAAACGTCTTCAAGCAACTTAAAGAAGTCCAGACGCTTTTCTTTGCAAGCTCCTTTGATTAATAGAGTAATCTTAAAACTTAGTAGCAGCCTATCTTGCTGGCAGCTGAAATTTGGCTGGGCCGGAAACGTGCTATGAATTTTGGGATATGGTAGGCCACGAAGGACACACCCGACCCATCCTTCAAATTTAGGGCTGGGTATCGTCACTGATTTCTAGAATCGATTCTATTCTGATTCACAAGGTCCTGAATTGATTCGTTTCGATTCGATTCGATTCAAATCAATTCGATTTGAATCTGGGAAATTTTGCCTCAGACAGTCAGAAATATTATAATTCAGATCAGTACATTTACATATTTTTGTATCTATAAAAAGGAAGCTGACATTTTCCAGACTTTATCAAAGGTGTAAGCATCACAGCAGATGCCTTTTTGTCAAAGTAGCTGAAGATAAAACACAAAAAAATATGAAGGTGATTTTCCTGGCCTGGGATTTTATAAAAATATTCTGCAGTAGATCACAAACGAAAGAAAACCATTAATCAACTTATGAACATTACCTCTGAAGTTACAGCGGTTTTATTAGAGACACGGCTAAGCGTTTTGCATTTTGTATAATTTTAAAAAGTTTACATTTGTTCAGAAGCCTATTGAACGGCAGAAATTAGGTTTTCTTTTCGGAAGTAAGTAAAAGGAAAAAAAACATCGGTCGACAGCGCTGTAAATAACGGTAGTCTTGTGCGTAACAAGCAAGCGAAGAATGCAGAAAACTGATTTCGGGGATAGGCGGGAAACTGTTCTTGAAGTACACTGAGAAAGAGAGAGAGGGCTGTGCATGAAGTGTGATTTTATTGTGGTGGAAGCAAAACAGCAAAAGTAAGAGGAAGTTCATGATGATCTTTATGTGAAGCTTAGTTTGGATCTTCTTTTGCTGCTGGTTCGGTCAATATTGTTTGGAGAGAGATAAAACTAACAGCTTTAGAATCAGCACAAAAAGGGCGTAAACACAAAGCGCGGACCCGCCGAAACATCAGAATCAGCGAGCTGTCGGCTTTCAGCCCTGACTGTGCCCGTGCCGTCGGGTGAGAAAGGCGACATCTCACTGATTCTGATCTGCAGGTCCGCGCTTTGTGTTTACATCTTTGTGCAGAAGCCGTGTACCTGCTCTCATTTACTGTTTTAAATGTTTGGTGGTTGTCAAAATTTTGTGACGTTTCACCTGAGATTCTGGAATTTTGGGCAAAATACATTTATATAAAAAATCGATTCAGGATTTTAATGAATCGATATCACGTTATCCAAGCCAGAATCGATTTTAATCGATGAATCGATTATTAAAACCCACCCCTATTCAAATTCGGGGAAATGAAGGATGCATTTATCAGCATTTGAAGGAGTCGACGAATTGAGAGAGCCTTCGTTGCCTGGCTGTGACGTAATCCGCCTTCAAATTAGTGATGTGCGATACCACTGATTTCCTTTCCGATCCGATACCAAGTAAAATTCAGGGTGGTATCGACGATACTGATCCGATACCAATACTTTGTACAAACACTTATTTTATTTATTGTATCTCAAATTATAGCGTCATAATGATTACAGGACAACAGATTACTTGTTCTTATCACTTAATAATGCAGAGTTCATCATATAGAAATAAAAAAACTGAAGTTCTGCGCTATTTGAACACGTTGCCAGCACTAAAGGACTCCGTGAGAGACGTCTGTCTCGCCCTAGTAGCACCTGTCCCTCTCCTCTTCTTCAGTTCACCACAACATACGCTCGTCATATTCTGTGATATGATTTACTCTGAGGTTAGTGGTGTTGCCACAACACTTCACTTTTTTGCCACATGTGTCGCAAAACACGTCTCAGCTGTTTGTGGAGGTAAAATATGTCTGCACATGACTCCAATTACGCTCAGCCATTGTTGTGAGTGCGCACGCCAGGGCTGCGAGACATTTATACAGCCGTATTTCACACATGAGTATGAAAGGCGGAAGAGGAAGTAGTTCCTTCGAATGTAGATAATCCAAATGTTATAGTTTCTTTCCACTGTGTTCTTGTGTGTGTGAATGGGTGAATGACTGAATGTAGTGTAAAGCGCTTTGGGGTCCTATGGACTAGAAAAGCGCTATACAAATGCAAGCCATTTGTTAATGATAAACTACAAATTTACCTTAAATTACTAAAATATCAATATTTTAATGTGAGAATCGATTCTAGAACATAAATGATTGGTATCGGAGGAATCTATATTTCAGGATCGATCCGCACATCACTACTCCAAATGCGGCCTCCGGAGGATGCAGCCGACATCTTGGGAGACACGCTTGTGTCTATATGTCAGATCGGGTCTTAGACTCCACCTCTCTGGACATATCTCAGGCCCCCCCAGGTGTGGGGACCTATCACCCCCACAACGCTCCCTGTCACTGGCTGATGCCCTCAGATGTTGGTGTGTTTCAGGTTCTCGGTGTCCAGGGCTGGGCGCTCAGGTATGTACCAGCTCATTCCTGGTGGCTGCTTGGCAGGACCTGCCGCTTGTGGCTTGGTTGGGCCCCTTCGGCGGGGGGGGGGGGGGGGGGGGGGGGGGGGAGGGAGGCCTCGGACCATGAAATTATTAATAAAAAGACTAAATTCTTAGTACAAAGACTTCACCTGCAAAATTATGAACACGATAACAAATCCGGACAATTTCTTGCTAACCAGTTAAAAATCAATAAAGAAAAAACAACTATATGTGCTGTTAAAGATGTATCTGGGAATACAATATATGATCTTAAAAAATGAACAAAATTTTTAGGGATTTCTATGAAACTTTATATACACCACAAATAAACCCATCTAAAAACGAAATTGATCAATTTCTCGACAACATAATTAATTAATTACATCTTCCAAAATTATTAGACACCCAAGCAATGGCACTGGATTCGCCACTGACGCCAGGTGAACTCCAGGAAGCTCTGATAAGTATGCTCAATAATAAGGCTCCAGGTCAAGACAGCTTTCCAACAGATTTTTACAAAGAATTCTGGACGATTCTGGCACCAGTTTTTCACAGGATGTTGCAGGAAATCAAAGAAAATGGTAGACTACCACCAAATATGAACTCTGCAAATATCAGTCTCTTACTAAAACCAGGCAAAGACCCTGTATTTCCTTCAAGCTATCGTCCAATATCCCTTATTAATGTAGACCTTAAAATAATGTGCTAAGCTCTCTCAAAAAAATTAGAGAAAATAACCCCCCTTTTAATTCATCCGGACCAAACTGGTTTCATAAAAGGTAGGCACTCATCAACAAATACACGTAGATTACTTAGACACGTAGACTACTCATGCAGTAAAAACATTGAAACCATAATATTTTCTTTAGATGCAGAAAAAGCATGTTTGGGGAGTGTGACTGTCTGTGCAGTGTCTATTTGTGTCTGTCTACACGTTGGGTGAGTGCCGAGTATTTGGTTGTGTATATGGGGGTGGGAATGCACGTTTGTGTCCACGTGCGCCTGTTCGTCTGTGTCTATATGTCAGGTTGCGTCTTAGACTCAACCTCTCTGGGTACATCTCAGGCCCTCCAAAGAACGGAGGCCTATCTCCCCTCACCACACTCCCTGCCGGTGGCTGATGCCCTCAGACGTTGGTGTGTTGGTGGTCCTTGTCGTCTGGGGCTGGGCGCTCATGTATGTAACGGCTCACTCCTGGTGGCCGATTGGCGGGGCCTGGCGCCTGTGGCCCGGCTGGGCCCCTTCCGGGGGGTGGTGTGCCCTCAGGCTTCTGGCCTCAGGGCCTGAAGCTCGGTCCTCTCTGGCAAAGCTGGCTGACAGAGCCCGCGGGCACGCCACTGCAACCCCCTCTGGCCTCTGCTCCATAGCTGCTGGGTGACCTCTCGTTTGGGGCTCTACTCAGCTCTTCCCAGGAGGGTGGCATGGTTCCCCCCTTTGGTGGTCCTCCTCGGGTCCTCGTACTCTGGGGCCTCTGGATGTCTGGGGCCTGGATCTCCTCCATACCTGCTTCATGATGCCCTTGTGGACGGGGCTATGGCTCCCCACACTCCCTAGCAGACCATTACATGGAGAAACCTTTGGAATACAAGCATGCTGATCCACACAGGTGTGCACACATGTGTGCACACAGGTGTTCAAAGACGCGGACTACACCTTTCTTGGCTGCTGCCTCAAACCACATTGTGCGCTGTCTATCTTGTGTGCTGCACAATATCGTTTAATATTTAGTATCTACTGTTATCTACTGCTAGCTAGTTTATTGTGATGGTGCTGTATTTATTATTTTGCTCTTTTTTGTTTGTTTTCTCATCTGTTTTTTTTTCTCCATACAGGTGATCCAGATGTTTTGTTTGTTTTTCTTTCTTTCTTCCCCCCTTCCTCACTGTCTCTTCTCCCCTCTGTTTTTCTTTCTTTCTCTCCCTCTCTTTCTTTCATTCTTTCTCCCTGTCCTATCCCCCAGTCATGTCTGTCCCGTTTGTAGCAACCGAAAATAAAATAAAATAAATACATAATTATAATAGAGGTCAATCAAATGGACCAATATGGCAAGGCCATGATGATCCACTTGGTAAAATAAATCCGCTTGGCATCTTTCTTGGCCTTAAGAAAACAATTCTGATGGCTAAAGATCCAAACGGGACAAAAAAAAAGAAAAAAAAAGAAAATACTAATAGACACAAAAGGCTAAAAATGTAGAAAGAAACCCACCAAATAATAAACCCACAAAAAAAAAAAAAAAAAACTAGAGGAAAAAACAGAAACCATGAAAATGAGAGAAAGTGAGTGTAATCCCAGTGCCCTTTTGAAGACAGATTAAATGGCAGGGTTAAATGTGAAAGAGTATCTGTTTTGAAGTCAGTACCAAATCAAAAATACAGATTCATCTGCTCTGGTGACCCCTTGGGAAAAAAGAGAAAAAAAAGTGCATAAATCTCAGTCATTATCTGTTTCAAAGTATGATCAGTGGCTAACAACTTGTAATTATTAACCAATAAGCGTGTAGTTTACCAGTTACCCTCCCACCACCACCACAGTTGGTGACATCACATCACAGCAATAATTTATACTGTTTGTGATCTCGTAAAAAATTATGTTTGAATTTTGAACATAATAATAAGGATTTACCTGCACAGAGAACACCAGCATCATATTCATGCCCGCAGGTTGCTCTTGTAAAATCTTTGACTGAGCATTGCTGAAGAGATGTCACATTGCCGAAACATGAATTGCTAGCCTCCACCACTGACCCACTGCCACGGCCAAAAACAGCACCACCATGAGCTTTCACGGCACGTCCACACTGCAGCGACTCACACACTACTCCAGCTTTACTTAGAGTCCAGTCCATGTCACACACTGTGTGCCACTGGTCATCATGACGAACCTCCACTCTTCCAGAGCACTCATCATTACTGTTAACCAAGCGCACCGCCAAGCTTTCTGTGAAGGCAAATAAACTAAATATGTAGCCACAGGTATGGAAGAATGACCAACAAACAACTGTCATGTATTTAGGTATATTGTACACCGGTTAAACTCAGAAGACAATATTAAACTTTTTTTTTTAAATGATAAAGAACATTTAAGCTGCCAATATTACTCTTTGGCATTTTTCATATAAAAATTCTGTAAACATTTATGTAAAAACAGAATTCAGTGATTAATTCATATTTTATTCACAATACAATCTTGAAAATATCAAATATTCAGTCTGAGAAAATGTACAATTTTGACATCACAACTTGTAATCTAAATTATTATTAGTATAGAATTTGGAGTATGTCAAATAAAAGTACTAATAGTACCTGGAACCGCTGAGGATGTCACTTTGACCACATAGAAATTAATGTAAAATCACAACTGCTGCACCTGGTTTGTCTAACAACACGATTGTTTACACACTTTTTGTCGTGAAAGCTGCTCAAAATTAAGACAGAGCTAGCTAGATGTGATTGACAAATAAATATATAGGGTCCTGTAGCCACATATCACCTGTGGGATGCAGAGCCAGGGTACAGCAGGATAGTACAGAGCAGGGGAGTGTGTGCCCAAATGTGTGGAGAACTGGCTGGGTTTCTGGCTGATCTCAGCAACAGAAAGCTGAACTGAAAAGACTATTTATTTACCATTATTACTGCTGATGCTGGAGGGGCTCAAAATGACCCCTGCAACCAGTTCTCATTTTAAGAAATTCCAAGTGTATTTTAAATTTGACTACAACTCTAGAGCAAGTTGGAACAAGGCCATGTCTTCTATGAACGGTCTGTAAACATTTGCAAACTAGGAAGACCAGTTGCTGGACTTCTGGGAGAGAAATGAAGGAATGAAGAAGAAGGAAGCAATGAAGCTTATGTGCAAAAGAATAGTATACTACATTAGCTGTAGTATGGTGTTTAGCACTGTCTCACTGAAATATACATGGAAACAGATGTCATCTTGCTGGAAGCATCTGTTTCTCTCAAACTTGTATCTGGATTTCAGCATTTTTGGTGTTTTGCCAGATTTTCAAGCTGCCAGTTTCATGGGCATTAATGCACCCTCATACTGATGATGTTGCTTGAACTAAACACTGATAAGCAGTGTGGTCCCTCACCTCTTTACTTCACAGGACACAGCTTGTTTTCCAAAAAGAATTTCACTGATGATGTTAAATTCTTTTTGATGTTCTATTGTGAATCAAATATGGATTTGGAAATCTTTGCATTTATTCTTTACTTACATTTTTAAAAAGATCCAAACGTTTTGTTTTTGGAACTGGGTTTGTATGTTTTTCTTACCTGTGCAGAAAACACCAGCCACTACAATGTTGTTGCAAGTCCTGTCTGGATATGGATATGGTCTTTGTTGACACTGATTCAATGTAGACTCTTTTCCATTGCATTCAATTTGATTTGTCCAGGTCTGTCCTGTACCAGGGCCAAGCTGAAGAAGCTTATGGGGCCTCCCACAGTCCAACTGTCTGCACACCACTGTTGCATCATCGATGTCCCAGGATTCAGCACACACAGTCCCCCACTGGCCTTTATTGAAATACTCTACTCTTCCATCACAACGAGTGGATCCACCGGCTAATCTCACATTACCTGGAAAGCAGAGTTGTTATATAAATCTAACATAAATCTATAAATACAAAGAAAAATGCAAAGAAAAAATACAAATGACTCATAACACCAACAGACCATTTTAGACTTAATCAGCTATGATTTCTGCATCATACAGATGGAATATGTTTTACAGCATCAAAAATGACTCAGAAATTGCTCTCTTCATAGTTTCAATGTTGCTGACCCTTGGCTATATTACCCTCACTGGGTGATCAGTGCATCATCAGATCAATAGCATTTACCATTGTAAGTGGTTAATATTCATCTGTTGTCTCACATTGTGTTTGCTAAATGCTGGTAATGGTGAAATCACTTGTTAGGCATAAAATAATTTGCCATATTGCATTTGTTCTACCTAGAAGTAGACTGTCCATTTAAAGGTATCAAAAAGATCAAGTTGACCTCAATGAGTAAAGGGATTAATTATGTGTAATAATAATTTAGAGCAATTCAATAGCAAAATTGTGTAAAGGAATGGTGACGAAGAGAGGAAAACAATATAAAAACAAAGGTTCAAAGATGCAGCTTCATGCTAAATCGTAGCGGCCAGCTAGCTGACTGAAACATGTGCAGCACTGAAGCACAGCCTATTTACAGCATCTTATATGGTCCAATTCTTTTGTGTGTTCGTGAATAGTCTGTGTGTGCTTTGGCTGGCCTAATCCTATTGGTCTTCTCTCTGTATATGCACTGCTATAGCACACATATGTGAAGATAGTGACATAATTTATAACTCGGGTTGTACCTGATTAACACGTGTTTAGACTACAAAAATATTGATCTGATGGTTTGCATCAACATTTTAATTGGAAAAAATCATACTTGATCTGTTTGATAAAGAACTTCATGGATTCATTTTCTTTTTGAAATATAGCATCAAGTCTTACCTGAGCATACCACAGAGGCCTCTTCAATACCATCGGTGATAGATCTGGTATAGTTCCTAAATGTACACTGTGTGACAGAGCTCTCTCTACCATTACAGTGGATCTCATGTCCTCTCAGATCTTCACCTTGACCAAATGACCTTGAAATCTTGACAGGATCTCCACAATTTATCTCTCTGCACACCACTGTGGCTTCATTCATTCCCCAGTTAATATTAAATGCTGGTGACCAGTGTTCACCGTAGTGGACCTCCACCCTTCCTGAGCACATGTCAGTCCCATTGATGAGTCGAATGGTAGCTACAAAGCAAAGAGGACAAAATCAGCAATTAGTTGGTGCCTGAAAATTGCATTAATTGAAATCCATACAATATTCTCACTGATGTCATGGAAATAACTGTGATATAAATTGTGGTGGGCCGTGGACTGTGATGCTGTGCAGGTGTACCTGCACGGCATCTGCAATGCATCTGTGTTAAAACATGGGGAATCAGTGTTGTAAGTTGGTGTAAGTGTGGTTGCAGCCGAGAGCTGCAGCCACATATAATAAAGATGGCTTTAAACAACGACCTCTAAACATTAAAAAAAGACACAATATTTAATGACAAAATAGTTTTTACCTGAACAAATCACTCCTGCATCTTCCCTGTGTCTGCACGAAAATCTTCCAGAGGGGCGGTACCTGCAGTGCCCAAGGGACGTCTCATTACCCAAACAGTTGACAGAAGAATACCAGATCACTCCTTGGCCTTCACCAAAGAAGGCCTTAGATTTTGCTCTCTGAGGTGTTCCACAGTCCATGGCTCTGCACACCACCTCAGCCTCTCTGAAGTCCCAGTCATCATCACACACTGTTCCCCACCAGCCGTCATGCAGAATCTCCACTCGGCCAGAGCATCGGTCAATGCCGTTCACAAGCCTTATTGGTGGTTTACCTGAGGGCACACGTTAAAGTATTAGCAATGAATATTTCAATCTCTTACTCTTTTTTAAATCCAGTATTATCAGATTTTTAAGGATATCTTCAACATGCTGATGAGTGTCCATCATTATCTGAAATGCAACCAAAGAGGTTAATGGCTGTCCCCCTTTTCAGACAATAGCTCATACTGGATAGTTTGTATGTCCAAGAAACTTTAAAATGTGGTTAACTTCAGCAACAGGTGTATTTTAACCCAAAACACAGTCTTTCACCAAATGTAACCAGGAAATTTTGGTGCTAAAGCTCAGGTCCATTTACTGCTGATTTAACTGAGGAAAAACATTCAAGCATTAACAATATAAATTACAAGCTGTCAAATAGATCCCATTAAGCAGTTTATTAAGAACTCAATAGCTTCTCATGAGGGGCCGTGCTGACACCTGCTGCTCTCTGGCAGAAAGCACCATGGCCCTCCCGTGTTTTAAATGCTATTTAGAACAGCACGCAGCAGCACCACATATGAGCGTGTGGAGAAAGGTATGGGGTCTTCACACCGCTGTTCTCTGTACCTCCTCGGGGCAGGGGGCTAGGAGGAGGAGTTGGCCATCTGATTGGGGTCTAGGGATGCTGGGCCTCCCTGCACCTCCCTGGAAAAAGGGTAACATCTCTTGGGTCTAGGGGCAAATTACCCCTCTAGATGCAAGGGTACCTGGACCTGGGGTATAGAGTATGCTTGGGGAGTGTGAGTGTGTGTACAGTGTCCATTTCTGTTTGTCTCCACTGTGGCGTGGGTGTGATCTCTGGCCGGCTGCAGAGTAGGGGTGACGCAGTGAGCTCCTGGGGTGGCGCAGGGGCAGGGTGAACAGGTGTGCTGGGATATGAATGTGGTTGTGACTCTTTATATGTTCACAGTGACAGTCGGAGGAGGAGGAGAGCGGACCTGACAGTAGAGAGAGGAAGTGTCTGTGTCCCAGTGAAAAGCGAAAACCACAGTTGTAAATAAAAGTATTGCTGTCATCACAGTCGTGTCCAGTGTATGCATAATGGGTCAAACGTTACACCACATTGGGCGAGTGCCAATTAAAATATGTTTGCATGAGGGTGGGAATGCATGTTTGTGTCTGTGTGTGCCTGTTTGTCTGTGTCTATATGTCAGGTCTTAGACTCCACCTCTCTGGACATATCTCAGGCCCCCCCAGGTGTGGGGACCTATCACCCCCACAACGCTCCCTGTCGGTGGCTGATGCCCTCAGATGTTGGTGCGTTTCAGGCAGGTTCTCGGTGTCCAGGGCTGGGCGCTCAGGTATGTACCGGCTCATTCCTGGTGGCTGCTTGGCAGGGCCTGCCGCTCATGGCTCGTTAGGGTCCCTTCGGCGGGTGGGGGCCCTCGGACCGTTGGCCCAGGGTTCGGTTCGTTCTGGCGCGGGTTCTGAACCCGTGGGCACATCACTGCAGCCCCCCGTGGATTCCGCACCAGGACTGCTGGGTGACCCAACATCTGGGGCTTTCTTCAGTTCTTTCAGAGGGTGGGGCGGTTGCCCCTCCGATGGTCCTCCTTGGGTTCTCGGGCTGTGGGGGGCCTCTAGATATTTGGGGCCTGGATCTCCTCTATGCCTGCTTCATGTACACATGGGCAATGTTCCCTCTAAGCTGCGCACGTGCGCAATTGCGCACTGTTGGGACGGTCTCTGCGCACAGAAAATCTGCTTTGCGCACACAAGAAAAATTCTAACCTGAATTGAAATTAAAGAAAATATGTGCCGACACCGGTGTTTTAGCGAGCAAAGCGGAGTAATGACAACGTGTACAACCATCGGAGATGTGAGCAGGACAGACGGAACAATTAACGGAAAAAGTGTGGACTTTATACCAGTTTTTAAATTGTGTTGATAAGCCACGTAAAACCAGAGTTATGATAAAAATATTTGCACTATTTGGTTTTCTTCCTGAATACTGTCGTTGTTTATATTTACTGCGGAAAGAAACAGTAAAAACTGCGTTTTATAAGGAAAACGCTCGAAAGCCTGTAAGCAAAGACGAAACCAAAACACCCCACCCTTTCCCATTGGTCGAAAAATGTACCATGGCACCCAATCAAGACATGGCATTTAGTTTTTAAGAAACAGGAAGAAGTTTTAGGAGTGACGGCGGTGTTGAGATGTGAGAGATTTGCAACCTTTAGCGCAAATCTTGTGTAGTTAGTGTGTAGTGTAGTCAATAGTTTTGTTGTGTGTGTCAGAACAATGAGGCGACTTTTGAATGTTACAGGTGTTACAGGAGTGATACATCTCCTGTTGTCAGGCCTGCAGGTATCAGGCTGTTGTTCTCCTTTATCTCATAGTGGACAGAAATTATTTTTTGGAGTGGGTCACGAACAAGAAATTTTTTTTAAATTTTCATTGTAAGTGGGATAAAGCACTTAATTAAAAGTAGTCTAACATAAATGTAAATGCTGTAATTTGATTATTTTAATAAACCATGTAACTTGGATGGATTCGATGCTGCCGTGACCACAGTGCTCACGTCTGCTGTTGCTCACAGTGGTCCAAGGGACCGCTCAGGGAGTTTGTGTGTTCGTTCAGACACATGAAAAATTAGAGGGAACATTGCACACGGGTGCTCACAGACAAACTATACAGGGAGTGCAGAATTATTAGGCAAATGAGTATTTTGTCCACATCATCCTCTTCATGCATGTTGTCTTACTCCAAGCTGTATAGGCTCGAAAGCCTACTACCAATTAAGCATATTAGGTGATGTGCAACTCTGTAATGAGAAGGGGTGTGGTCTAATGACATCAACACCCTATATCAGGTGTGCATAATTATTAGGCAACGTCCTTTCCTTTGGCAAAATGGGTCAAAAGAAGGACTTGACAGGTTCAGAAAAGTCAAAAATAGTGAGATATCTTGCAGAGCTTCTGAAGCGTGATCATCGAACAATCAAGCGTTTCATTCAAAATAGTCAACAGGGTCGCAAGAAGCGTGTGGAAAAACCAAGGCGCAAAATAACTGCCCATGAACTGAGAAAAGTCAAGCGTGCAGCTGCCAAGATGCCACTTGCCACCAGTTTGGCCATATTTCAGAGCTGCAACATCACTGGAGTGCCCAAAAGCACAAGGTGTGCAATACTCAGAGACATGGCCAAGGTAAGAAAGGCTGAAAGACGACCACCACTGAACAAGACACACAAGCTGAAACGTCAAGACTGGGCCAAGAAATATCTCAAGACTGGTTTTTCTAAGGTTTTATGGACTGATGAAATGAGAGTGAGTCTTGATGGGCCAGATGGATGGGCCCGTGGCTGGATTGGTAAAGGGCAGAGAGCTCCAGTCCAACTCAGACGCCAGCAAGGTGGAGGTGGAGTACTGGTTTGGGCTGGTATCATCAAAGATGAGCTTGTGGGGCCTTTTCGGGTTGAGGATGGAGTCAAGCTCAACTCCCAGTCCTACTGCCAGTTTCTGGAAGACACCTTCTTCAAGCAGTGGTACAGGAAGAAGTCTGCATCCTTCAAGAAAAACATGATTTTCATGCAGGACAATGCTCCATCACACGCGTCCAAGTACTCCACAGCGTGGCTGGCAAGAAAGGGTATAAAAGAAGAAAAACTAATGACATGGCCTCCTTGTTCACCTGATCTGAACCCCATTGAGAACCTGTGGTCCATCATCAAATGTGAGATTTACAAGGAGGGAAAACAGTACACCTCTCTGAACAGTGTCTGGGAGGCTGTCGTTGCTGCTGTAGTCACCTGCACACACAGATATCCCCCTAAAATAGCTAAAACTAAAAACAAACAAAAAACTACTTCCAAAAACATTCAGCTTTGATATTAATGAGTTTTTTGGGTTCATTGAGAACATGGTTGTTGTTCAATAATAGAATTATTCCTCAGAAATACAAGTTTCCTAATAATTCTGCACTCCCTGTATCTTTCTTGGCTACCTCAAAGCACATTGTGCACTGTCGGTCTTGTGTGCTGCACAATAACATGTAATATTTAGTAGTGGTGGAACTTGTGGTGTGTTTTGGTGCAAGAAATAGTGAGCCAATGTGTGACATAACGACAGATGTAGAGTCAGCGAGGAAGAGAGTAAGTTCTGCCTATTCCAAAATAAAAAACATAAATGCATATGTTCAATCGACCACAATCGTAGACAATTGAATTGACACAGGGGGAATGGGACACAAAGAGTGACAGAAAACAGCACACATGATGAGGGACTACAAAATAAGACGGGAAGTACAGAATAGAGAGAGACAGTTTAGACACACAGACAAAAAGGGAAACAAATGGAGAAGAGACAGACTACATACAGGGAAATGTCTAAAAAATTAGACAAGGAACTAAGAACTACAAATATGAATAACTAAACTAGGACGCACTTGAAAATAGTAATTGACACAAAAGGCTAAAAATGTAGAAAGAAACCCACCAAATAATAAACCCATAAAAAAAAAACCCAAACTAGGGAAAAAAACAGAAACCATGAAAATGAGAGAAAGTGAGTGTAATCCCAGTGCCCTTTTGAAGACAGATTAAATGGCAGGGTTAAATGTGAAAGAGTATCTGTTTTGAAGTCAGTACCAAATCAAAAATACAGATTCATCTGCTCTGGTGACCCCTTGGGAAAAAAGAGAAAAAAAAGTGCATAAATCTCAGTCATTATCTGTTTCAAAGTATGATCAGTGGCTAACAACTTGTAATTATTAACCAATAAGCGTGTAGTTTACCAGTTACCCTCCCACCACCACCACAGTTGGTGACATCACATCACAGCAATAATTTATACTGTTTGTGATCTCGTAAAAAATTATGTTTGAATTTTGAACATAATAATAAGGATTTACCTGCACAGAGAACACCAGCATCATATTCATGCCCGCAGGTTGCTCTTGTAAAATCTTTGACTGAGCATTGCTGAAGAGATGTCACATTGCCGAAACATGAATTGCTAGCCTCCACCACTGACCCACTGCCACGGCCAAAAACAGCACCACCATGAGCTTTCACGGCACGTCCACACTGCAGCGACTCACACACCACTCCAGCTTTACTTAGAGTCCAGTCCGTGTCACACACTGTGTGCCACTGGTCATCATGACGAACCTCCACTCTTCCAGAGCACTCATCATTACTGTTAACCAAGCGCACCGCCAAGCTTTCTGTGAAGGCAAATAAACTAAATATGTAGCCACAGGTATGGAAGAATGACCAACAAACAACTGTCATGTATTTAGGTATATTGTACACCGGTTAAACTCAGAAGACAATATTAAACTTTTTTTTTAAATGATAAAGAACATTTAAGCTGCCAATATTACTCTTTGGCATTTTTCATATAAAAATTCTGTAAACATTTATGTAAAAACAGAATTCAGTGATTAATTCATATTTTATTCACAATACAATCTTGAAAATATCAAATGTTTAGCCTGAGAAAATGCACAATTTTAACATCACATCATATAATCTAAACATTTTTATTAGTAGAGAACTTGGAGTATGTCAAATAAAAGTACTAATAGTACCTGGAACCGCTGAGGATGTCACTTTGACCATATAGAAATTAATGTAAAATCACAACTGCTGCACCTGGTTTGTCTAAAAACATGATTGTTTACACACTTTTTGTCGTGAAAGCTAAATTAAGACAGAGCTAGCTAGATGTGATTGACAAATAAATATATAGGGTCCTGTAGCCACATATCACCTGTGGGATGCAGAGCCAGGGTACAGCAGGATAGTACAGAGCAGGGGAGTGTGTGCCCAAATGTGTGGAGAACTGGCTGGGTTTCTGGCTGATCTCAGCAACAGAAAGCTGAACTGAAAAGACTATTTATTTACCATTATTACTGCTGATGCTGGAGGGGCTCAAATGCAACCAGTTCTCATTTTTAAGAAATTCCAAGTGTATTTTAAATTTGACTACAACTCTAGAGCAAGTTGGAACAAGGCCATGTCTTCTATGAACGGTCTGTAAACATTTGCAAACTAGGAAGACCAGTTGCTGGACTTCTGGGAGAGAAATGAAGGAATGAAGAAGAAGGAAGCAATGAAGCTTATGTGCAAAAGAATAGTATACTACATTAGCTGTAGTATGGTGTTTAGCACTGTCTCACTGAAATATACATGGAAACAGATGTCATCTTGCTGGAAGCATCTGTTTCTCTCAAACTTGTATCTGGATTTCAGCATTTTTGGTGTTTTGCCAGATTTTCAAGCTGCCAGTTTCATGGGCATTAATGCACCCTCATACTGATGCTGTTGCTTGAACTAAACACTGATAAGCAGTGTGGTCCCTCACCTCTTTACTTCACAGGACACAGCTTGTTTTCCAAAAAGAATTTCACTTTTTGATGATGTTAAATTCTTTTTGATGTTCTATTGTGAATCAAATATGGATTTGGAAATCTTTGCATTTATTCTTTACTTACATTTTTAAAAAGATCCAAACGTTTTGTTTTTGGAACTGGGTTTGTATGTTTTTCTTACCTGTGCAGAAAACACCAGCCACTACAGTGTTGTTGCAAGTCCTGTCTGGATATGGATATGGTCTTTGTTGACACTGATTCAATGTAGACTCTTTTCCATTGCATTCAATTTGATCTGTCCAGGTCTGTCCTGTACCAGGGCCAAGCTGAAGAAGCTTATGGGGCCTCCCACAGTCCAACTGTCTGCACACCACTGTTGCATCATCGATGTCCCAGGATTCAGCACACACAGTCCCCCACTGGCCTTTATTGAAATACTCTACTCTTCCATCACAACGAGTGGATCCACCGGCTAATCTCACATTACCTGGAAAGCAGAGTTGTTATATAAATCTAACATAAATCTATAAATACAAAGAAAAATGCAAAGAAAAAATACAAATGACTCATAACACCAACAGACCATTTTAGACTTAATCAGCTATGATTTCTGCATCATACAGATGGAATATGTTTTACAGCATCAAAAATGACTCAGAAATTGCTCTTTTCATAGTTTCAATGTTGCTGACCCTTGGCTATATTACCCTCACTGGGTGATCAGTGCATCATCAGATCAATAGCATTTACCATTGTAAGTGGTTAATATTCATCTGTTGTCTCACATTGTGTTTGCTAAATGCTGGTAATGGTGAAATCACTTGTTAGGCATAAAATAATTTGCCATATTGCATTTGTTCTACCTAGAAGTAGACTGTCCATTTAAAGGTATCAAAAAGATCAAGTTGACCTCAATGAGTAAAGGGATTAATTATGTGTAATAATAATTTAGAGCAATTCAATAGCAAAATTGTGTAAAGGAATGGTGACGAAGAGAGGAAAACAATATAAAAACAAAGGTTCAAAGATGCAGCTTCATGCTAAATCGTAGCGGCCAGCTAGCTGACTGAAACATGTGCAGCACTGAAGCACAGCCTATTTACAGCATCTTATATGGTCCAATTCTTTTGTGTGTTCGTGAATAGTCTGTGTGTGCTTTGGCTGGCCTAATCCTATTGGTCTTCTCTCTGTATATGCACTGCTATAGCACACATATGTGAAGATAGTGACATAATTTATAACTCGGGTTGTACCTGATTAACACGTGTTTAGACTACAAAAATATTGATTTGATGGTTTGCATCAACATTTTAATTGGAAAAAATCATACTTGATCTGTTTGATAAAGAACTTCATGGATTCATTTTCTTTTTGAAATATAACATCAAGTCTTACCTGAGCATACCACAGAGGCCTCTTCAATACCTTCGGTGATAGATCTGGTATAGTTCCTAAATGTGCACTGTGTGACAGAGCTCTCTCTACCATTACAGTGGATCTCATGTCCTCTCAGATCTTCACCTTGACCAAATGGCCTTGAAATCTTGACAGGATCTCCACAATTTATCTCTCTGCACACCACTGTGGCTTCATTCATTCCCCAGTTAATATTAAATGCTGGTGACCAGTGTTCACCATAGTGGACCTCCACCCTTCCTGAGCACATGTCAGTCCCATTGATGAGTCGAATGGTAGCTACAAAGCAAAGAGGACAAAATCAGCAATTAGTTGGTGCCTGAAAATTGCATTAATTGAAATCCATACAATATTCTCACTGATGTCATGGAAATAACTGTGATATAAATTGTGGTGGGCCGTGGACTGTGATGCTGTGCAGGTGTACCTGCACGGCATCTGCAATGCATCTGTGTTAAAACATGGGGAATCAGTGTTGTAAGTTGGTGTAAGTGTGGTTGCAGCCGAGAGCTGCAGCCACATATAATAAAGATGGCTTTAAACAACAACCTCTGGAAGTCATATCTAAACATTAAAAAAAGACACAATATTTAATGACAAAATAGTTTTTACCTGAACAAATCACTCCTGCATCTTCCCTGTGTCTGCACGAAAATCTTCCAGAGGGGCGATACCTGCAGTGCCCAAGGGACGTCTCATTACCCAAACAGTTGACAGAAGAATACCAGACCACTCCTTGGCCTTCACCAAAGAAGGCATTAGATTTTGCTCTCTGAGGTGTTCCACAGTCCATGGCTCTGCACACCACCTCAGCCTCTCTGAAGTCCCAGTCATCATCACACACTGTTCCCCACCAGCCGTCATGCAGAATCTCCACTCGGCCAGAGCATCGGTCAATGCCGTTCACAAGCCTTATTGGTGGTTTACCTGAGGGCACACGTTAAAGTATTAGCAATGAATATTTCAATCTCTTACTCTTTTTTTAAATCCAGTATTATCAGATTTTTAAGGATATCTTCAACATGCTGTATGCTGATGAGTGTCCATCATTATCTGAAATGCAACCAAAAGATGTTAATGGCTGTCCCCCTTTTCAGACAATAGCTCATACTGGACAGTTTGTATGTCCAAGAAACTTTAAAATGTGGTTAACTTCAGCAACAGGTGTATTTTAACCCAAAACACAGTCTTTCACCAAATGTAACCAGGAAATTTTGGTGCTAAAGCTCAGGTCCATTTACTGCTGATTTAACTGAGGAAAAACATTCAAGCATTAACAATATAAATTACAAGCTGTCAAATAGATCCCATTAAGCAGTTTATTAAGAACTCAATAGCTTCTCATGAGGGGCCGTGCTGACACCTGCTGCTCTCTGGCAGAAAGCACCATGGCCCTCCCGTGTTTTAAATGCACTTTAGAACAGCACGCAGCAGCACCACATATGAGCGTGTGGAAAAAGGTATGGGGTCTTCACACCGCTGTTCTCTGTGCCTCCTCAGGGCAGGGGGCTGGGAGGAGGAGTTAGCCATCTGATTGGGGTCTAGGGATGCTGGGCCTCCCTGCACCTCCCTGGAAAAAGGGTAACATCTCTTGGGTCTAGGGGCAAATTACCCCTCTAGAGGCAAGGGGTGTCTGTGTCCCAGTGAAAAGTGAAAACCACAGTTGTAAATAAAAGTATTGCTGTCATCACAGTCGTGTCCAGTGTATGCATAACGGGTCAAACGTTACACCACATTGGGTGAGTGCCAATTATTTGTATATGTTTGCATGAGGGTGGGAATGCATGTTTGTGTCTGTGTGTGCCTGTTTGTCTGTGTCTATATGTCAGGTCTTAGACTCCACCTCTCTGGACATATCTCAGGCCCCCCCAGATGTGGGGACCTATCACCCCCACAAAGCTCCCTGTCGGTGGCTGATGCCCTCAGATGTTGGTGCGTTTCAGGCAGAACCCGTGGGCACATCACTGCAGCCCCCCGTGGCTTCCGCACCAGGACTGCTGGGTGACCCAACATCTGGGGCTTTCCTCAGTTCTTTCCAGGAGGGTGGGGCAGTTGCCCCTCCAATGGTCTTCCTTGGGCTCTCGCGCTCTGGGGGGCCTCTAGATATTTGGGGCCTGGATCTCCTCCATGCCTGCTTCATGTACACATGGGTGCTCACAGACAAACTATATCTTTCTTGGCTGCTACCTCAAAGCACACTGTGCACTGTCGATCTTGTGTGCTGCACAATAACATGTAATATTTAGTAGTGGTGGGACTTGTGGTGTGTTTTGGTGCAAGAAATAGTGAGCCAATGTGTGACATAACGACAGATGTAGAGTCAGCGAGGAAGAGAGTAAGTTCTGCCTATTCCAAAATAAAAACCATAAATACATATGTTCAATCGACCACAATTGTAGACAATTGAATTGACACAGGGGGAAGGGGACACAAAGAGTGACAGAAAACAGCACACATGATGAGGGACTACAAAATAAGACGGGAAGTACAGAATAGAGAGAGACAGACTAGACACACAAACAGAAAGGGAAACAAGTGGAGAAGAGACAGACTACATACAGGGAAATGTCTAAAAAATTAGACAAGGAACTAAGAACTACAAATATGAATAACTAAACTAGGACGCACTTGAAAATAGTAATTGACACAAAAGGCTAAAAATGTAGAAAGAAACCCACCAAATAATAAACCCATAAAAAAAAAACCCAAACTAGGGAAAAAAACAGAAACCATGAAAATGAGAGAAAGTGAGTGTAATCCCAGTGCCTGTTTGAAGACAGATTAAATGGCAGGGTTAAATGTGAAAGAGTATCTGTTTTGAAGTCAGTACCAAATCAAAAATACAGATTCATCTGCTCTGGTGACCCCTTGGGAAAAAAGAGAAAAAAAAGTGCATAAATCTCAGTCATTATCTGTTTCAAAGTATGATCAGTGGCTAACAACTTGTAATTATTAACCAATAAGCGTGTAGTTTACCAGTTACCCTCCCACCACCACAGTTGGTGACATCACATCACAGCAATAATTTATACTGTTTGTGATCTCGTAAAAAATTATGTTTGAATTTTGAACATAATAATAAGGATTTACCTGCACAGAGAACACCAGCATCATATTCATGCCCGCAGGTTGCTCTTGTAAAACCTTCGACTGAGCATTGCTGAAGAGATGTCACATTGCCGAAACATGAATTGCTAGCCTCCACCACTGACCCACTGCCACGGCCAAAAACAGCACCACCATGAGCTTTCACGGCACGTCCACACTGCAGCGACTCACACACCACTCCAGCTTTACTTAGAGTCCAGTCCGTGTCACACACTGTGTGCCACTGGTCATCATGACGAACCTCCACTCTTCCAGAGCACTCATCATTACTGTTAACCAAGCGGACCGCCAAGCTTTCTGTGAAGGCAAATAAACTAAATATGTAGCCACAGGTATGGAAGAATGACCAACAAACAACTGTGATGTATTTAGGTATATTGTATACTATTTGAATTTAACCCTTGTGTGGTGTTCGTATTTTTGTTACTCAGCCAGTGTTCATGGGTCTGGTGGACCCGCTAGAGTTTTGGCTTTCCAAATTAACACCATCAAACAATTTTATGTTAAATTACTCAACAGATGTTTACTTCATCCCAATTACAAGACATATGAACAGCAAACATGGTTAATTTTTTCCTTTTACCTTTGTTAGATCACATTTATGAATTAATGTGCTTCTCGTTTTTCTTTTATATAAAATGTTATAAATAAATCAGTTATAATCAAGTGGAGTGAGTGGAAAGACACAACACATTTACACGTGAAAAAATAATTAATTGTTTAATTTTTCTTTTGAAAAAAACTGAACACGGGTCTCACAGACCCGAACACCATACAAGGGTTAAATTGAGAACATGTACAACTTTAGAAAATATTCACTTCTTTTGAGTTTTATGGCAACATGTTCCAAAAAAGTTGGAAAAGGTTTGTTTTCCACCAAGTTTACCATTCTGTGCATCCCCTCTTCTCTTAAAAACAGTCTGTAAAGATCTGGGAACTGAGGATACCAGTTTCTAGACTTTTGTAATAGGAATGTTATTCCAATTTTGGATGACATAGGGTTCTACCTACTCAAACGTCCTGAGTCTTCTGTGTCATGTTTTGTGATGCTTAAAATGTTTTCAATTGGTGAATTGTCTGAATTGCAAGCCAGTTATTCAACAGTATCTATGCTGTTGTAATGAAGTTTATTGATAAGTTCAATAAGAAACACCAATGGTCTCACATCTTTCCGCTCCCAGGTGCTGCCAGCTACATCTAACCTTCACATCACTCCAACTTTTCCATGCTGTCAAGCGCTTCATGACATCACTAGTCTAGTTGGATCACCTTTTCCCCAGCCTTCTCGAGGCCGGTCGGCATTCATGCTGCATACTTTAAATCTCATTGCACCTCTCCTTTACAGTCTCCTTCGTGCAATCGTGTCCATGTCTTTGTCACGTTCACACTATTAGATGCTCGCATCTTGATTCATGCTCAATAATCTAGGTAAGTAAATGCCAAAAGGTTGATTCTGTTCATCTGGATGTGGCATTTTCAGTGGGAGAAACGTTTTGTCACTCATTGAAGGGGCTTCTTCAGTCTCAGCTGACTGCAGGTTTCCCCAACCTTATAAACAGTACATTTGCACAATGACTGAAACTAGCCAACCGAAAGAACAATGGGTTGTGAGGTCAGTTACTTGATCATTAGTATGCAAATTGTCATGACCATTAATCAACAACCACTGATCAAAGACCGTTGATCATTGATCAAAGACCATTGATGAAAGGCCATGAGCGCCATTCACAGAGAGGTGGGGAATGGCTGCAATCATAGCATTGTAAGATGGTGAAAGATGTACCCTTAGGTCTTCTTGACTCCCCGCTCAAACCAGCGTTCCTAATGCTAATAATTAAAACCCTCAACCTTTTCCATTAGTTTAACAAGCCTCTGCGACTGGCAATTGTCTGCTTACTGATTCTACTAGCCAAATCCAGGCTTTTCACTCATCTTAAGCCATCTCAAACTTTCCCCTCTCAGATCAAAAATCTATTTGTGCACCTTGTGGCAAGTTTCTGGGCACTTTAGGCATCTTAGATAATAAAATCCTGCTGAAATTTCTGGGCTCCCCATCCTTTAACTTCCTCCCCTGTTTGGCCATCTAAATCTCTTTCGTCAAGTCATTTTGCCTTCTTTCAAGTCATGTGCATTTACTTTAGATTATTTATTATGGCTCTCCATGCATTTCTACTACTTTCTGTCATTTTTTTTTTTCATGGATTGGTACTAGCATTGGTAATAGTTATTAGGAGATGTCCTCCTGAGTTTCTGCTGTTTCCTGTCCATCACCGGAATGATTCAACCATACTTCTTATAAGGTAAAATTGGCAATACGTGCATCACAATATTCATGCCATTATAGGACCATCTCCCTTGGCTGCTGCTCTAATGGAGGATCCTGTTGCTGTAAAACCTATATACACATTTCACCATTTTTGATCTACTTCCACATGTGCCAGTTTCATAGGCATTCATGCATTCAGGCATTCATATTGAGACTGACGCTCATTCTATAATGAACTAAACAGGGTGCAGTTTGTTTTCTAATAAAAATTGAACTAAATGCTGATAACAAATCCCTCTCCTCTTTATTTGGGAGGACGCAGATTCCATGTTTTCCCAAGAAAATTTCAGATTTGGTATTTTTATGTTCTATTGTGAATCAAGTATGGGTTTATGAGATGTCCAAATTATTACATTCTGTTTTTATTCATATTTTACACAGCATAAAAAAAAATTCAGACTTGCGTTTCCATGTTTTTCTTACCTGTGCAGAAAACACCAGCCACTACAGTGTTGTTGCAATGAGATGGTTCTATTGGACACTGAGTCAATGTAGACTCTTCTCCATTGCAATTAATTTGATCAGTCCAGATGTTTCCTGTACCAGGACCAAGCTGAATAAGCTTATGAGGCTTCCCACAGTCCAACTGTCTGCACACCACTGTTGCATCATTCATGTCCCAGGATTCAGCACACACAGTCCCCCACTGGCCTTTATTGAAATACTCTACTCTTCCATCACAATGAGTGGATCCACCGGTTAATCTCGCATTACCTGGAAATCAGTTGTTATATTAGCGTAACAAATATTATTATATTATATTACTATACATTAAATCTAACTTTTGTTTTTTAATTACATTAATTTTTCTTTTCTTTTTTTTTTTATCACACAGACTGTCATGGTCTTGGTTTAATGTACCCAGTGTTTGGAGTTTTTCTTGTGTTTTTGTCATTTTGTATTATATTTAAGTCCGCTTTGTTGGTCTTAAGTTTACTCTATAGTACCACTGCGCATGCGCGTTTTACCCATATTCTATCGCAATATTTCATTTTCCTATCATTGCCCAACATTACACCGGTATTACTGTGAACGGTATGATATAGCGCAGCCCTATCCTGGGGTCTGCATTTGGGTCCTCCCTTCCTGCCTGCCGCACCCAGTTTATGACAGAAGATCATGACCACACTATGGACCCAGCAGACTTAATGTTCGGGAGTTTTGAGGAGTATGCATGCCAAATCATCTTTCTGCGGGGGCGGTGGATCATTCCGACCCACGAGGGAGAGAAGGAAGAGTGCCAGCAAGAGGTCCGCAGCCTGGTACATTCCTGACTCCAGCCAACCTGGCAATAGCACTTGCCGCTAGTTTTGATCCTCCATCCCTCCAAAGGGAGGATCTCACCGTCAACGCCTCTGCCTCAACAGCACCATCCAGCTCATCCGCCACTTGTGCACAGTTCCCAGGAGGAAGCGGTGTTCACGCCGTTCCAAGTCTCAGCCAAAGACAATTTTTTCTTCTGAGCCTCCACGTCCTGTGAGTAACACTGCCTCATCATTGAACACTAGTTTTAAGTCAGCATGCCTACAGACTCCAGCTCATATGGGTTGAACAGTGCTGGACAGTTTGTAAAATATGCACCGGAGGGTTATTGTGACTGTGTTTCTGAGAGTGACTGTAATTTCAGGGATTCCTGTGTTTCCAAGCTTGAAGTTTCTGAGAGTAATTTTGTGCCTGTCCTGGAAACCAGTGAGGTTTGCGTCTCAGGGCTCACTAATGTGCCAGGTGATGACTGTACTCGTGTGCCTATCAAGCATAAAACTGACTGACACACAACCAGACTGCAAAGTACTAATTACCACCAGTAGTGGTAATTCTAAAGACCCTCCTGTAGCAACGATGGTTAAGGTAGCCAAGGAGGCTTATAGCCATGAGCAGGCCACCTCAAAGACTAAGTTCAGCTTTCCTGAGATAACTTCTCCCAAGACTGCTAGTTCTAACCTGGAGAGCTTAAGAACAGCAGATTTTCTAAGGCCAACCAGCTAGGGCTGGGCCATATCATACTGTTCACAGTAATACCGGTATAATGTTGGGCAACGATAAGAAAATGAAATATCGCGATAGAATATGGGTAAAACGCGCATGCGCAGTGCCTTTGTTTTCATATGCACATGGTGGAAAAAGCATGGCGGCGACAGAGAATGAGAAGGGCGAAAGCGGATCGTTGACAGTGCCCCCTATAATCCCATGTGCCTTATGTATGAATTCTGGTTGTGTTTACTGACCTCGAAACAATTTTATGTGGTACACGGTGCTCGAAAATCTGTCAAATGTTTTAGTACAAGCTTGATGGATTGTCGGAGCATTACGGCTATCATAGGCAGGAGCCTCGCGGAGTGATACGTACTGTGCTGCAACATAATATTACTGTATTGTGTGTGTATAACGTCTTTTTAAGTTTTGTGGATATTAGACATGGTTATGTCGGCCAATTTCCACTGGAAATGCCTTTTGGTTAAACTGTCAGCAAGGAATTTGCATTTGCACTGTTAAATTTTTATATAACTTTAATGCACATAAAAAACATCTCCTTGTGTCCATTTATTTATATAGCACTTCCAGACAACCGCCAGCTGAAAAGAAAGTGCCTCTTTGGATTCATGGTTGACCCAGCTCCTCGGTTTTGTTTTAGACTTCTGCTGCTGGGATTTTGATTTTGTGGACTGTGTTTTCCTAAACTTCAGCATTTTTTGTTTTAACCTCCTAAGACCCGAACTCTTCCACGGCATGCATTTTTAATTTCTCTTTGATATTTGGGCATATTGGGACCCAATGAATGTAAAAACAAAGAATCACCAGATTTTTTCTTTTACCCGATTTTTGTTCCTAAGAAAAATGAGAGCTGAGGATGAGGATATTTGTTTAAAATTTTGATGGAACAGTGGCAGCATAATGTCCTCGTAAGTGGATATCAGGCCCTTGTAGAGCAAAATTTAATATTTTGGTCTAGACAACCCAAAATCTGATGTCCACGTATGTGGGTGCCAGGTCCTAAGAGGTTAAACTCTGTTTTTGTTTATTTCTGGACTTGGTTGGCATTCCTTTTTCAGCAATAAAGCTGTTTATGAGTTTACATTTCACATCCTGGAGTCTGCATTTCGGTCCTCCTTCCTGCCTGCCGCACACAGTTTATGACACAGACATAAAGCCAAAAATCAGCATAGTTTGGTAGCGACTGGGATCTCAAACTTGCTCATCTCTATTGGCTCCCCATTGTTTCAAAAACAAGGAGAAAAAGAAAACAAAGAAGCAAAAGATGAAGACACATAAACAAAAAATAAACAACATTAATATTAATATCAAGATTTTTTCTTTCCATTCTCAAATGTTAAGTTTGTGAATGAAAAATTAAAATAACTTTAATATTTTGTTTATTAAAAAGGATAAGGCCATGTCTATTATCTGGCGCCTTTTCCCCCTTTTTCTTCTAAATTTCATTAAACCTAATGGTGGTGGTTAGTATAAATGTGCACATATAAAAGGGGACTCCTGTGTTCCCCCTTCTATGTATCAAAAATGCTACAAAGTAAGTCATGAAGGAAAAAAAGAATTTAACAGTGTGTTGACAATGTTTGACTGCTAACTCTACTGGTTTGTGAATATGACCTCATGACTTAATGTGTGGCTGAGGTCTAAACAGAAGCTGTCCTTTTTTTTTTTGCTCTTTATTTTATGTTTTATTTAGCATAAAAAAAATCAGCTACTTTTGATTGAGTTAATTTCAACATGCTTATCACTCAAAGTGGTCTGCAGAATTCTATAATCAGTCTGCTTAAAATTAAGCCTAGATTGATTGATGTAGACATTTACATATTTTCTTCTCCTTCCGCTTCACAATTTTTCACTTTTGTTGATAATAAAAGTAGTTAAAGCGAAGGGGTTGTATTACCCTTGCTGGCTGATATTAGTACATTGTCAAATGAAATAGAATTTAGCATTGTAAGTGGTTAATATTTATCTGCTGTCTCACATTAAAGTTGTATTTGCTAAATGCTGGTAATTTTAATAGTGAAATAACTCTGTGACCATGCATTAAATAATTGCCATATCACAAGGTAAAACTAAAGAATGCACATAGGCTAGTCTTTTCTTAATGAGCAAACATGACCTTTGTTATTCTTGGAAAGCACTAGAGGAGCATATCTATAGTTTTTGTCTCTTACCTGAACATACAAGAGAAACACCTTCACATGACCCTCTGTGTTCTTGCAGTTGACACTGGCTGATAGAGTTCACATTATCAGAGCATCTACTTGTGAACCCTTGCAGTGAGCTGTCACCAAAGTAAAAGATGTCCTTGGAATTTTTTGGATCTCCACAGTTGAGCTCCTTACATAGGACTGCAGCTTCTTTAAGGCCCCAGTTATTACTACAAAGTTTCCCCCATCGGCCATCATGGAAAACCTCCACTCTGCCAGAACAGCTGTCAGTTCCATTGATCAATCTGACTGTCTCTGCAAAGCAGAATTTGGGTTTTTAGGATTTTCATTAAAACTCAGGTTTGAAACTCAGAATACATCCTGTCTTACCTGAGCACACGAGACCAGCATATTCACTGTGGTTACAGTCATATACTCCAAAACCTTTGTGAGGGCAGTCAGCAAGAAACATCTCATGACCAGTGCACTCCATCTTATCCAGCCAAATCTGATCTTGACCTCTCCCAAAGTAAGTCTTATATTTGACTGAGAGAGCATTCCCACAGTTCATCTCTCGACATGCGACAGTTGCTTCTTGCATTCCCCATCTATCATCACAGACTGTTCCCCATTGTGAACTATAGTAGATTTCCACTCTACCAGAGCAGCGATTAGTCCCATTCACCAGCCGAATGGGTTGACTGTCTGTTAATTTAAAAAAAAAAAAATTAAGGGCAAGTTTTTTCAGAAATGGCAGATTCTAACAGTGTCACTTTTACAATTAATTACTGATAGTTTTGTGAGCACACGTGTGACTTACTTCCACAGACAACAGTAGCATCATCACAACTTTCATTGACTTTTAGAAGTGAGCACTGTGAGACAGAGGTCTCATTTCCAGAGCAGATGGTTTTGATTGCAGGCAGGGCACGTGCATCTCCAAAATACAATGTCTCAGTCTGAGTGGGTGGATCGCCACAACCAGCTTCTTGGCACACAACATGAGCTGCTTGTTTGCCCAAATCACTGCAAACTCGTTTCCACTGAGCTTCGTGGTAAATTTCTACTCTGCCATTGCAACGAGTTCCATTGACAAGCCGCACATGTCCTATAAAATATATAAAACTAAATGGTTAGTCTATGACAAATAACACTGTGAAAAAGTATGAAATCCACTCTATGTATTTCCTAATAACCTTAAGACTATAGACAAGGGAGAACATTTATAGCTAATTTTATAGCAAAACTGAATTCAGTTATGAAAAGTGATATTTTCCAGTTTTTGGTTCCAATTAAGGGGAATACCTCTCTAAGGGGAAGTTAGTCTTTCAGTATATTATTTTGATAATTTTTAGGTTTATTTGGGCAGGACCTGTTTAATTAAGACCAGCATCAAAACTGGTATTTTTAATTGACATTAAATACACAAAATAATTGTTTGTAATCAACATTAAACTTTTAAAGCAAGAGTTCTATACTCGCAGCCTTTTTAATTAAAAAAGAATGGGGTTAATGTTTGAAGAAATGTCACTAAAGTTGACTGGAAAGATAAAGAAATTCCCATTACATTTGACTACATTTTAATATACTGGCTCAAATTCTTAAGTTCTTTATTCTTGGGGCGAAACATATGGTTACGTTACGTTACGTTACGTTACGCTACGCTACGCTACGCTACGTTACGTTACGTTACGTTACGTTATGCTACGTTATGCTACGTTACGTTACGTTATGTTACGTTATGTTACGTTATGTTACGTTATGTTATGTTATGTTCCAGTTTGGATTCAGGAGACAGACACTATCTCTACTTTTAAGATTAAAAACTTTCCTTTTTGCTAAATCGTATAGTTAGGGCTGCATCAATGAATCCTCCCTTATGCTGCAATTGTCAAAAGCTGGTAGTCAATTTCTCTTGACAATCACGTGTGCTGCAACTTGTTTTCCTGAAGCCATTCCTCTTGGAAGATCACTGCTCCCACCATAACTAAGGCTCTGCTTAGATTTTTCTCAACATTCGGTCTGCCCAGAGTTATTCAAACCGACCAAGACAGCAATTTTTAGTCAAAACAGTTTAAGCAGTCTTTGCGACTCCAGCTGACACATCCTTATAGAAGTCTCAGCTTCTACCTGCCGACACTAGCTTAAGAGAATATTATATTATACTAGACTGACAAAGTTCTTAAAATGTGTGTATAAACAAAAATAAATAAATGAATACATATCTTACCCTGTGCATGGGGTACATGTAATGTACAACAAAATATGTCAAACATTATCTAGACGTACCTGAACAGACCACTCCTGCATCTTCACTGTGGCCACAGTTATTTTTCCCAAATGGTTTGTGCTGACACTGAAGGATGGAAGACTCATTCCCAACACACTGTACATCATCCAACCAGATCTCATCCTTTCCACGTCCAAAGAAAGCATCGTTTTTGGCCTCCATAGCTGTCCCACAGTTTAGCTCTCGACACACCACCTCAGCATTGGCCATGCTCCACTCATCATCACAGACAGTTCCCCAACTGTCTTGGTAGAAGACCTCCACTCTGCCAGAGCAACGCGAAGGTCCGACCAGCCTAATTTTTTCACATTCTGGATATGAGAAAAACAAAACCACAAAGGATGTTCAATGTTTTACCTAGCCCTTAAAAACATAAAGGCAGTTTTTTAATGGAGAAATCCAATTATCTTAATATTCATGGGTTATTTACTGACCTGTAAACTGCAGCAAACTCAACAGGCCTGCAGCAGAAATATAGAGCAAAGTAGTCTGATTAAATCTGACAGGAGATGTGAACTTAGATACAAAATAAAACTCTGTGTTAACAGTCTACACTGTAGTCAGACCTATGATTTGTTAAATATATTATAAATATGGAAGACAAAAGGATCCTGGATAGTTTTAAACTGATCCAGTAAATAAACTCCCACTTCTCACTCATGATACTAACACACAACCAAACCATGTTTCCACTCAAGAAAAAATATGTCCACATGAAGTCAAACTGAGAAAAAACTCCAGTAACTCACCAAGAGACAAGTGAAAAATAAATTGTTGTTTTTCATCCAAAATGAGGATCATATTGTGTCTTCAGTGTTGGTCAAATGCTGTAAAACATAACAGTGAATTTGAAAAATGGCTTTACATCTCTCCGAACCCCCTGTCTTTAGAAAAGCTTTGTTTAATCTTTTTGTTTTCACCAAAAGCTGATAATACAGTCCTCTTTAAATTCACAACGACTAGAAATCTTTTAAAAATGAAATCAGTATTTGTAATAAATTGCTCACCCTAAGGGTGAGCCGATGAACAAAAACCCCAATGAACAAATTCCTTGCTATAAATCAAACTCTAGCTGGACTTGGATTGCAAACTGGAGAGATATTGACATTTTGATCAATCATTAAAGACAAGTCGATGAGTGGATTTTGTTTTTCACTAAAGTCTACATATACTATTTTTTTAAACAGTTATCATATTCATCATAAAGAGAAGCAACATTTTACATGATGTTGCAAAAGATAATGAAAGACAATAAGAACAAGAATGATAGTGCAGCTCTCCACCAAGGTGGCTCATTCTCTGGCAGTTTTTACTTTGAAAGGAATAGTATTTGTATAGCATATCTTATGTACAGTATATAAAATTAAAAAAAAAACTTTGTTGCCTTTGTTCTTTTTAAACAGGAGTACTATGTTATGGAGCATAAACAAATCAAAGTGCAAGTTTTCGTTATTTGCCCTGTTTGAAACTCATTTTAATATACTTACCATAATTTTAAAAATAAACAGTTGTCATTTTTTATGTGAATATACTACATATGTAGCATTCATTTCATTGTTTATAAAATTTGTTTAAATGTTTATTTTTGGAAATGTTGCCAATAAAAACAACAAAATAATTTTGAATGAAATTTTAACATTTTCTGACCTTGAAGAAGAGGTCAGAAAGAAGTAATGCAATGTTTTGAATCCTTATATATCATTCCCTATATGCCTATATGTTGTCAGTACAAGCAATGGCATTAGGTAATTCGTTTGGAAGATCTCTATATACATTACTATAACCTTCAGAACAATCACTTGACCTTGAAGGAGAGATCAAAGGTCAAATGTGACCTCTTACTTCTGGTATTGGTACTTTTTGGTACTTTTTATATGCTAACAATACACAGTTAAGTTTTTGTCAATAGCCATTCATTAGGTTAACCTTGAAGATCGTATTGAATGTAAGGTAAATTTATATTGATTGTTAAGATGACCCCACTTTACACCCCTACAAAATGTTGGCACAATTTATTCAAAACTTTGCAAGCTGTCATGTTTATAGATAGAATGAGACATACATAAACATGCACACATGCAACAGCTACCAAGAACATATCTCCTTTGGCAGAGGTAATTATTTACTCACAACAACATAGATAATTGGGAAATCAAGGTCAAAGGGATGCTTTTGTGGTTGCTTGTTGTGAAATATCAGTCAGTAAACTTAGCGACTGACCTACTTTTGTTCTAAACCTACTTGTAGTTATCATTCACATCAGCTTTAATTTCATTTTAAGGCCATTACTAATGCAGACTGCAGCCCCAAAACCTTCAGATGGCATCTGAGACTGAAGGAGTGAAAGATGCCATCAATGTACACTATGAACGACCATCCGTGAACAGAGAGGGTGGCTTACGCACCAATTGTCAACCACCTACAACACAGTTTTGAGATCCCTTCCCTGGTGGCGAGACAGATGAGTTACATGTAGTGAGACACATGATTAATAATGGACAACTTAAAGGACAACTTCCACTAGGGATTAAATACCTGGGACTCTCCACCATGTGGTTTTAGAACTGAAGAAGCTTCTTGGATGAGAGGTGAAACACCTTCAAGAAACATCCATTTTCACACTTTAGAGATCCAAAGTGTGGAATGGTCATATTGGAACGCCATCTCTATTACACGCTTTGCTATGATATCAGGTTGATCTATAACAGGCATAACTAAAGTTAATCTGCTGGTTAGTTGCACAGAGAGCACCATAAAGCACAGTAATAGGAAACCAGAGTTTAGTATCTTGAACTGGCTACATGAGAATAATGTAATAAGAAAATAATATATTCATCAGACCTTTATTTATCCAGATAATAAAATCTCATAGAGATTTCTATGAGACCTGGCATATATAAAACTGTCTGTTCACTTAATTTAATATTATTTCTTACAAAGTCTTATTGCTTATCTAAAAAAAAAAAAAAATCCTCTGAGAAGCTGTTTGGTTTATTTGTTAAAATCTTACATGCAGTGAAGATGTCCTTGTAATCAATCTTTCACTAAAATGGGTCACAGCCACAAAGATTGTGGCTTCGTGGTCTAGGGTGTCCAAACGGAGCCAGACATTGTAAACAACACAGTTTTCTATTTCCAAATTTTATCATTGGGAGAATCGATCTAACATTAGAGAATACTGGAGTTTGAAAGGACAGTAGGTTAAGCACATATTGCACATATTGACATCTGGGTAAATCATTATAGAATCTGAGATTCTCTGATGGGAAATTACCTCACAAACCTACCTGACAACACCGTGGGTGGTCTGAAAAACAGGCCGATCATGTCACAAACAGGATAATAGTCTAATAAGTAGAAAGGCGTGTATATACCAGGGTTACAACTACAACAGCAATTTCAGCACTAGCAGTATATTATCATGTTGTTGGCTCATATTTGTGCTAACATTAGCCTTTTGTTCTTCCTTAAAAAAGTACTTTATTGGAATACATAGTGGGAGTCACAACTTAATGAAATTGGAGAAACTGGTACCTTTGATGCTGTGAAATTAGGCCTACAAACATCCCTTCACCCGTGGACACAAATTTATACATTTCTGTTTTTAATTTAAGGCATTTTGACCATTTCTTTTACATATTTTATAGACAACACTGTATCGTCAACACTTTTAACCAGAGGTGGGACCAAGTCATTGTTTTGCAAGTCTCAAGTAAGTCTCAAGTCTTTATCCTCAAGTCTCAAGTCAAGTCTCAAGTAATGTCAGGCAAGTCAGAGTCGAGTCTCAAGTCACTGGTGTAAAAGTCCGAGTCAAGTCACAAGTCTGAAACTTTGAATTTCAAGTCCTTTCGAGTCATTCAAAAAAACGAAAAAAAGCATGTTGCAGTTATATGCTAAATGTAAATATTAGACCATGTAATTTTTAAATCTGTGTTTTTCTCAACACATGACAAAATAGTGAACTTAGAAAATATACACAAATTGTGAAATTGCACCTCTTTAAAATGCAGCTCAATTAAACCTAGCTCCAAGAATAATTTTCACCGACAGTTCTGAGATAAGCTGCATGTTATTCTTGGATGCGGTTGTAGGACCGGCTTTAAAATCGCATGACAAAAATATCATACACATTAAAAAAAACTGCATCACCAACGTAGCCTGAACAACATTTGCTAGTTAGATGAAGTCAGCTATCTCATCTTAGCATATTTATATGCATATTTATAATCATACGGTTCTTGGAGTGAGTGCATACACTCATGAAGTTTAGTAACTTCAGGTCACTGCAACAAGCCCAGGTACAGTTTACCGCCGGATGGGTGCAGGACCTTGAAATGCACCGTGTAGAAAGTAAAGACCATCGTACCTATCATAAGTTTACCAGTCTCACAAACTGTCGTCATAAATACACATTCATTAACCGTTTATTAATAGGATCTTTAAGCTCAACGGTAATTAATTAGCAGTGGAAATAATTTCTGGTAGCATCACAGAAATGTAGCAGTGACAATAATACTGTATGCTGTAATCGTACTGGACAATTAGTGATACAAAAAACCTGTTTTATCCTGTGAATAAAAGTATATGTTTTGTCAATGTACCATAATAACAGAAGCGAAACGCAATATTGTGTCAGGACAATTCACTATTTATGCACAATAAACAAAGAAGCATAGCGCGGCAATTTCTGTTCAGCGCCAGACTTGCTTGTAACCTATATCACCAGTTATGTTATGAAAATGACGTATTAACTACTAAAAAACACTGACCTTCGTGTAAATGCTTGGAGCAGACTAACCTGTGAGCTGGAGGGTTCTGGGACGTTATATTTGGTCTTTGAATGGCTGCAATCCAGTCGCGTCTTTGTTACTTCGGAAACATGGCTCGAACAATTTCTCTTCAACGACGTAATCCGATAACAACCGATCTCTTTACCCGTCGGCTTCCCGTGGCTGTCATGCGACCGGCTATTGTAGTTAATAATACAACAGCTTCTTGACATTTTTGTGTTTCTTTTTATCGCTGTATAACTGATTTTAATTGAAAGCCTGTGTGCGCTAGTACCGCTTGCCACGAGTTCCCAGAATCCTTTGCGGTTCTACCCGTGAATGACGTCACATTTTCAATCTCTATATAATATGCATGTTAAATTTTATATTTGGGGTAAAATATCAAGTCTTTTCAAGTAAACCGGTTCAAGTCCAATTCAAGTCCCAAGTCATTGGTGTAAAAGTCCAAGTCAAGTCACAAGTCTTAGAACATTTTTTCAAGTCAAGTCTAAAGTCATAAAATTAATGACTCGAGTCTGACTCGAGTCCAAGTCATGTGACTCGAGTCCACACCTCTGCTTTTAACGTCCAACTGTTCACCCTGCTTCAGCTTGAATTGTTCTGCCATTCTTCACAGGTCCACTAGTGGCCACTCCTGTTTCCCCACTGAAAAAAAGCCAGATAAACTTTCCCTCCACTACATTAGATACACCAGTTCGGCTTCTGGTCCATCCAAATGTCCAATCAGCCAATAACATGACAATATCTCAGTGCATTTAGGCATGTAGACAAGATAAAAGCAACAGAATGGGGAAGAAAGATGATTTAAAGGACTATAAATGTGGTATGGTTAATGGTGTCAGACAAGTTGGTTTTCTGGGAATTTTCTCACACAACCATCTCTAGAATTTTTGGAAAAAATATCCAGTGAGTGGTTGTTCTCTGCATGGATCCATTCTTGTATCAAGGCTGGTGCTGGTGGTGTAATCGTGTATGGGATTTTCTGTAGTTAGCTTTGGGCCTCTGGGTGTCAATCAACAAGTCTGCAGAACTGTGTGATGTTATCATGTCACATGTGCCAGAATCTCAGAGGAATGTTTCCAGCACATTGTTGAATCCTTGCTATGACAAATTTAGGCAGTTCTGAAGGCAAACATGGTCCAACTTGGTGCTATTCATTCTCTGCCTGAGTTTGCAATATGTCATCTTATATTTCCATTAAGTTCCTGTTTGAGAAACCTTACAGGAAATGTATCTCTGATACCTATCAGCAGAAAGCTGAATTCAAAGGGCAGTTCATACAA